CTAAGCAAAGAGAGAGCCTAAAAGCAACATAGACCAGAAAGGAACACAGACAATATACAGTAACAGTCACCTTACAGACAATACAATGGCACTAAATTCATATCTTTCAATAGTTACCCTGAATGTAAATGGGCTAAATACCCCAATCAAAGGACACAGGCTCAGGAGGGGAAGAATGAACGGGGGAAATCAGAGGGGGAGACGAACCATGAGAGACGATGGACTCTGAAAAACAAACTGAGGGTTCTAGAGAGGAGGGGGGTGGGAGGATTTCTTAGTCTGGTGATGGGTGTTAAAGAGGGCACGTTCTGCCTGGAGCACTGGGTGTTATATGCAAACAATGAATCATGGAACACTACATCAGAAACTAATGGTGTAATGTATGGTGATTAACATAACATAATAATAAAAAAAAAAGACACAGGCTATCAGATTGGATTAAAAAACAAGACCCATTGGTATGCTGTCTGCAAGAGAATCATTTTAGACCCAAAGACACCCCCATATTGAAAGTGAGGGGGTGGAAAGCCATTTACCATGCTAATGGACACCAAAAGAAAGCTGGGGTGGCAATCCTTATATCAGACAAATTAGATTTTAAACTGAAGACTGTAATAATTAGAGATGAGGAAGGACACTATATCCTACTTAAAGGGTCTATCTAACAAGAAGATCTAACAATTGTAAATATCTATGCCCCTAACATGGGAGCAGCCAATTATATAAGGCAATTAATAACGAAAGCGAAGAAACACATTGACAACAATACAATAATAGTGGGGGACTTTAACACCCCCCTGACTGAAATGGACAGATCATTTAAGCAAAAGATCAACAAGGAAATAAAGACTTTAAATGACACACTGGACCAAATGGACTTCACAGATATATTCAGAACATTCTTTCCCAAAGCAACAGAATACACATTCTTCTCTAGTGCCCATGGAACATTCTCCAGGATTGATCACATCCTAGGTCATAAATCAGGTCTCAACCGGTACCAAAAGATTGGGATCATTCCCTGCATATTTTCAGACCACAATGCTTTGAAACTAGAACTCAGTCACAAGAGGAACGTCAGAAAGAACTCAAATACATGGAGGCTAAAGAGCATCCTACTAAAGAATGTATGGGTCAACCAGGAAATTAAAGAAGAATTAAAAAAAAATTCATGGAAACCAATGAAAATGAAAACACAACTGTTCAAAAACTTTGGGATACAGCAAAGGCAGTCCTGAGAGGAAAGTATATAGCAATACAAGCCTTTCTCAAGAAACAAGAAAGGTCTCAAATACACAACCTAACCCTATGCCTAAAGGAGCTGGAGAAAGAACAGCAAATAAAGCCTAAACCCAGCAGGAGAAGAGAAATAATAAAGATCAGAGCAGAAATCAATGAACTAGAAACCAAAAGAACAGTACAACAGATCAACGGAACTAGGAGCTGGTTCTTTGAAAGAATGAACAAGATTGATAAACCCCTGGCCAGACTTATCAAAAGGAAAAGAGAAATGACCCAAATCAACAAAATCATGAATGAAAGAGGATCACAACCAACACCAAAGAAATACAAACAATTATAAGAACATATTATGAGCAACTCTATGCCAGCAAATTGGATGCCTGGAAGAAATGGATGCATTCCTAGAGATGTATCAGCTACCAAAACTGAACCAGGAAGAAATAGAAAACCTGAACAGACCTATAGCCACTAAGGAAATTGAAGCAGTCATCAAAAATCTCCCAAGAAACAAAAGCCCAGGGCCAGATGGCTTCCCAGGGGAATTCTACCAAACATTTCAAGAAGAATTAATACCTATTCTCCTGAAACTGTTCCAAAAAATAGAAATGGAAGGAAAACTTCCAAACTCATTTTATGAGGCCACCATTACTTTGATCCCCAAACCAAAGACCCCATCAAACACGAGAAATACAGATCAATATCCTTGATGAACATGTGTGCAACAATTCTCACCAAAACACTAGCCAATAGGATCCAACAGTACATTAAAAGGATTATTCACCACGACCAAGTGGGATTTATCCCTGGGCTGCAAGGTTGGTTCAACATCTGCAAATCAATCAACGTGATACAAAACATTAACAAAAGAAAGAACAAGAATCGTATGATCCACCCAGTAGATGCAGAAAAAGCATTTGACAAAGTACAGCATCCTTTCTTGATCAAAACTCTTCAGAGTATAGGGACAGAGGGTACATACCTCAATATCATAAAAGCCATCTATGAAAAACCTACAGCGAATATCATTCTCAATGGGGAGAAACTGAGAGCTTTCCCCCTAAGGTCAGGAACGCGGCAGGGATGTCCACTATCACCACTGCTATTCAAGATAGTATTAGAAGTCCTAGCCACAGCAATCAGACAACAAAAAGAAATGAAGGGCATCCAAATCGGCAAAGAAGAAGTCAAACTCTCACTGTTTGCAGATGATATGATATTGTTTGTGGAAAACCCAAATGACTCCATCCCAAAACTGCTAGAACTCATACAGGAATTCAGTAAAGTGGCAGGATATAAAATCAAAGCACAGAAATCAGTGGCATTCCTATACACCGACAACAAGACAGAAGAAAGAGAAATTAAGGAGTCGATCCCATTTACAGTTGCACCCCAAACCATAAGATACCTAGGAATGAATCTAACCAAAGAGGTGAAGGATCTGTACTCAGAAAGCTATAAAATACTCATGAAAGAAACTGAGGAAGACACAAAGAAATGGAAAAATGTTCCATGCTCATGGATTGGAAGTACAAACATTGTGAAGATGTCAATGCTACCTTGAGCAATCTACACATTCAATGCAATCCCCATCAAAATACCAACCACTTTTTTCAAAGAAATGGAACAAATAATCCTAAAATTTGAATGGAACCAGAAAAGACCCCAAATAGCCAGAGGAATATTGAAAAAGAAAAGCAAAGCTGGCGGCATCACAATTCCGGACTTCCGGCTCTATTACAAAGCTGTCATCATCAAGACAGTATGGTCCTGGCGCAAAAACAGACACATGGATCAATGGAACAGAATCGAGAGCCCAGAAATGGACCCTCAACTCTATGGTCAACTGATCTTTGACAAAGCAGGAAAGAATGTCCAATGGCAAAAAGACAGTCTCTTCAACAAATGGTGTTGGGAAAATTGGACAGCCACATGCAGAAGAATGAAACTGGACCATTTCCTTACACCACACACAAAAATAAAGACTCCAAATGGTTGAAAGACCTAAACGTGAGACAGGAGTCCATCAAAATCCTAAAGGAGAACACAGGCAGCAACCTCTTCGACCTCAGCCGCAGCAACTTCTTCCTAGAAACATCGCCAAAGGCAAGGGAAGCAAGGACAAAATGAACTATTGGGACTTCATCAAGATAAAAAGCTTTTGTACAGCAAAAGAAACAGTCCACAAAACCAAAAGACAACCGACAGAATGGGAGAAGATATTTGCAAATGACATATCAGATAAAGGGCTAGTATCCAAAATCTATAAAGAACTTCTTAAACTCAACACCCAAAGAACAAATGATCCAATGAAGAAATGGGCAGAAGACATGAACAGACATTTTTCCAAAGAAGACATCCAAATGGCCAACAGACACATGAAAAAGTGCTCAACATCACTCAGCATCAGGGAAATCCAAATCAAAACCTCAAGGAGATATCACCTCACACCAGTCAGAATGGCTAAAATTAACAAGTCAGGAAACAACAGCTGTTGGCGGGGATGCGGAGAAAGGGGAACCCTCCTACACTGTTGGTGGGAATGCAATCTTGTGCAACCACTCTGGAAAACAGTATGGAGGTTCCTCAAACAGTTGAAAATAGAGCTACCATACGACCCTGCAATTGCACTACTGGGTATTTTCCCCAAAGATACAAATGTAGGGATCTGAAGGGGAACGTGCACCCCAATGTTTATAGCAGCAATGTCCACAATAGCCAAACTGTGGAAAGAGCCAAGATGTCTATAGACAGATGAATGGATAAAGAAGATGTGGTATATATACACGATGGAATATTATGCAGCCATCAAAATGAATGAGATCTTGCCATTTGCAACGACGTGGATGGAACTGGAGGGTGTTATGCTGAGTGAAATAAGTCAATCAGAGAAAGACATGTATCATATGACCTCACTGATACGAGGAATTCTTAATCTCAGGAAACTGAGGGTTGCTGGAGTGGTGGGGGGTGGGAGGGATGGGGTGGCTGGGTGATAGACATTGGGGAGGGTATGTGCTACGGTGAGTGCTGTGAATTGTGCAAGACTGTTGAATCACACATCTGTACCTCTGAAACAAATAATGCATTATATGTTAAGAGAAAAAAAAAGAAGATAGCAGGAGGGGAAGAGTGAAGGGGAGTAAATCGGAAGGGGAGATGACCCATGAGAGACGATGGACTCTGAAAAACAAACTGAGGGTTCAAGAGGGGAGGTGGGGGGGAGGATGGGTTAACCTGCTGATGGGTATTAAAGAGGGCACGTTCTGCATGGAGCACTGGGTTTTATGCACAATGAATCATGGAACACTACATCAAAAACTAATGATGTAACGTATGGTGATTAACATAACAATAAAACATAAAAGAGAGAGAGAGAGAGACCCAATGAGCAGACTTAGGACTTGGACTGCTTGATAAACTCTTGGATCTGAAAACATGAGCTCTGATCTTGAAGTGCCAACACCGCCCCTCCACTGTTCCACCCGATACCCAGGGGAACAGCCCAAGCAGGGGGGCAGGCTAGTGTCCCAGGTTGTGTGCAGAAACACAGGTGGCGAGTGCCCAGGTGGCAGTCCCAGCCCCGCCCCTCCTGCCACATGACTGCCCGGTACTCAACTTCCCTCCTTCTCTGCTAAGTGGGGATGATGCGGTACCTCCCCCGAGGGCTGCCTGGGGAGCCTCCCCTGAGGAAAAGTGGTGGTCAGCAGTCTAGACAGCTAGCAAGAGGCCGAGGCAGCAGCTGTGCATCATCAACGTACCTGGGGGCCATTGCTCGGGGTGGTCGGAGCTTGCCCTGGGTCCGCAGAACACCCTGGTCTTTCCTCCTCCTCTTCCAAATGTGCTTCTTTTATTCCTGCTCCATTGATGTGTCCTTGTGGGGCACTGGACACCTCGGCATCCCCCCAGACCAAGGACAGAGTGCCAGAATTGACATCGTATCTGGAATTCTCCGTGCCTAAGGAAGGCCCCATCCACCTGTCAGCCGGACCCGATTTCTCCTCCAAGGGCAGTCCGTGGGCTCTTGGGGTCAGTTGCCCTGAGAGCCGAGTCACCTGCCCCTCCCTTTCCACAATGTTCCCTTTGTCCCCCTGCATCTTGCTTTCCCCCTGCAGACCCTCCTCTGCTCTCACTACGCAGCCCACGGCGGTGCTCGCCCCCACTGCGACTTCCGTCTCCAAGACGCGGATCCTGCGCAGAAGGTGGGCATTCTCCCCGCTGAAGGCCCGGACCGTGTCTTCTATCCCCAGCATTACACCCTTCATCAGCTCCTTGTAACTGACCCCGAGCTCCGAGATCAGTGCCTTGAGCTCCTGGTTTCCCAGGGTGACGCGTTCCACCACACCTTGGGATTTTCTGAGGCTCTCCCATGTGGCTTTGTGAAGCTGGGCCACGTGCCTTTTCAGCTTCTCGTTCTCCTGTTCGAGCTCAGAAATTTTACTGTAACTTTTCCCGTTGCAGTCTTCAAGTTCGGAAATGACCTGCCAGCACTGGTCCAGCTCCCCCTTTAAGTGAGAGATGTCCCCTAACAATGTGCTGTTTTCCTGTCCCAGCGTGGCGATCTTTGTCCCATTTCTGTCCCTCTCTTTTTCAAGGATGCGCAATTTTCTACGGCATCTCTCTCGGTCGCCCCAAAGCTCGGCATTGTCACGTAAAACCTGGCTTCTCTCTTTTTTCAGTCCAGAAATGAGCTGCTGGAACCTTCTCTTCTGCCTTTCAAGGGCTCTTGGTGGCTGGTTCCGACCCAACTCGGCGGGCCCCTCTGGACGCGGACTCACATCATCCAAATCAGGCACCGTCCCAGGAAGAACCACGCTGGCTCCCAAGGCCTCTGTCTCTCCTGGTCTAATCTCTTCACTAACCTCCCCGGGTCTGACTTCGCTGGCCAAACAAATATCCAAGCCCTCGTTTCCCAAAGCCTGCCAGGAGTAAGCCTTCCCCTGGTAGCGGGGCCATTTCCCAGGCAAGTTCCTGCTCTCTCCCGCCAGCGTGGAGGCTTGCGGCCACCGCCCCCCACCCTCAAGCTCCAGGATGGAGAGTTGCTGGAAACAAGCTTCCATCTCCTTTTCAAATTCGTCTAGTCTGAGCTCAGAACTGCCAGGTCCTTTGCTTAGAGCCCACGGGTTACTGGTGGGTTCAGTCCCCTTGGGTGAGAAGGCCAATCTGGGAGCCGGTGTCAGACCTCCCTCTGCCGCTAAGAAGAACAGATCCTGGCCCGCATGTTCTGTGGGGCCAGCATCCTCCGGGACATCCCCATGGCCCAGGCTGGACCCTTCTAGAGGCGATGCCTCCTCTTCCTTCTCTTCTTGCCCTTCATCCCCAGGGCTTTCCTCTTTCAGATGCAGAGCCTTTCCAGCCCACACAAGAGTTTCCTCCATGTCCTGCCCTGCAAGGAGCTGAGCGCCGGCTGGAGACAGCCTCTGGGCACCCCGGGCCCTGGCTGTGGGGTGCTCTTCCTCCTCCTCTGATGAAAGCCCTCCCACCCTCCCCCTCCCACTCAGGGGTTTGGGCCCCTCCGTTGGCACTGAGACCTCCCCCTGTAGAAGAGGCAGTGGGAGATTTGGCCTGGGCCAAGGGCAGGAGGCAGAGGCCTGGGTTTCTAAAGCCCCGTTCTGGATGCACACGCCACCCCGCAAGTTCAGGTTCACTCGGCTTTCCTGACTTAGCTTGCTCCCGTCTCGGTGGACGTCTTCCTCCTTCCTGTCCCAAGCCCGCCTCGCCCCCTGCTCTTCCGTTCTCCACTCTGGTCCTCCTCCGTCTTTCCAAGGGTCTTTCAGATCTCTGGGCCCTCTCCTGGGAAATCGGTGACTTGAAGTCTGTGGGGACTCCTGGCAGAGGGGGGCTTTGGGGCTCCTTGCCCAGTGATGATCCCGACGGGGCTGTCCTATGGCTCTGGCATCCAGCATCTGTTGCATTTGGGATTCTTGTGGAGAAGACTCCTGGAGCAGCGGCAGCAGGGAAGAGGGGTCTCTGGCCGGCCCCCGGGGAGGGACTGTCGATGTCTGCACCAGGAGAAAGGACCCCTGGGCCTGGGCAGCTGTTAGCCTCCGCCCCAAAATCCAGGCCAGCTCCACGGGGAGGGGTGAGCCGTCCCTGTACTGCCCCGGGGGGCAGCCACAGGGGAGAAGGAGAGCCTGTTCATCCAAGCTAGGCTCAGCAGGAGTCGGCTAGGGACAGGAAGAGAAGAGAAGGTATGAAGCAGCCCCGTCCTCCGTTTAGCCCCCCACACCTCTGTGACCTCATCTCCTGATGCTCTTGGTGTTTCCTCACCTGGCCTTATAGGCCTCCCTAACGTGCCAAGCCCAACACCACCCCAGGGCCTTTGCACCTGCTTTTCCCTCTGCCCAGAATATCCTTCCCCAGATCCCCTCGTGGCTCATCCTCCATCCATTCACATCTCCGCTCAGACGTTACTTCCTCCAGCGCCCCCTGGCCATGTCACCACGCTGTGTGTGTTCCCCTTTACTGCGCCTCCCACCCTCTCACAGCCTGCTGTGTATCTGTGTGTGCATTGTCTCCCTGCTTTATCCCTGCGGGTCCAACACAGTAGCCACAGGCCACCAGCCACGTTACAAGAGCTCAGAAGCTTGGGGTTCATGGCTCCCCTACTGGACGGCACAGGCGTAGCACATTTCCATTGTCATGGAAGGCTTTAGTGGATGGGCGGTGTAGACCATCCCCTCCGAGGGCAGGGGCCCTGGGCCTAGACCAGTGCCAGGCCCCCAAGATGCATTTCATAGATATTTTAAACTATATTTTTACATACACTTCTTCAGTGCAAGTATCCATTCTGTCTCCTCAAACCTCCCTCTCAATTATCTTGCAAACCCTTCTTTAGCCCCTTCTCCCACCTCCCACATGCAGTAGGGCTGATCAGACCCGGCTGGCACTCCAGGCACGCGGGAAGCCTCCGGCCTCACCAGTCCACAGTCAGATCCTGTGACGTCTTCCAGTGACTCATCCGTGGTCTCCAGGCCTGGCACCAAAACAGAGGGGCCTTGTCCAACCCCGATGCATCCCCAGGAGCAGCGGCCCTCAGAGGGCTGGTCTGGGAGGCAAGAGCACCCCAGCAGTTAATGAGACCCTCCTGGGAGTTTTGTCACAACGGCCACTAGCGACTGAGCCGCCAGCTCTTGGGATGACCTGGCACTTCTCACTGACTCAAGGCGCGTGAGCCCCAGAGGCGGCCTGAGGATCACCACCACCTGCCAGGTAAGGAAACCACGGCTCGGAGACAGGGAATGACTGTCCTCTGACGCGCAGTGGACTGGGTCTGGAAGCCACCTTTGCTGACCACGAAGCTCACACAGGTGGCAAATCCCATGACACCTCCCTCAACCGGGGCACCCTCAGGGTCCCACAGGGTTGTAATCCCCTCCCTCCAGCCCCGCCCGCACGGCAGGCGTGCAGGGGAAGGAGCTGGTCCTAGGCTTCACCACCAGACGGGCCCCTCCTTCTTCGCCGAGGACAAATTTGACCATGTGACTTGCCAGCTCTGTTCCCCAGAAATAGGATAGTGGGGGAATGACAGCTGTGTGGGTCAGCGGCACTGCTGGCTATAAATAACCCCCTCATCTCCCACCGCATTTGGCCTTGGAAGACTAAGCAAGCCACAGACTCCCAGTGGGACATCGTGGCTTTGGGCTCCCCGAGTATAGTGCCTTTTGTTGCAGGGAATCCAGAAGCCATGCCCGAGACTGCAATCAGAGACATTGGTTCCCATTAGGGACAAGTCAGGAACAAGGGGCTCCTCAGCCCCACGAGCTCCCAGAAACCTCACAGCTGTCTCACACCTGAGTTGTCAAGGGGTGGGCAGGGATAAGGTAGTCATCCCACGGCCTCCTGCAAAGAGCCCTCCTCCCGAGACACCCGCTGCCCCGCACTGGCACGGGTGGTGAGGCGCTAACAGGAGTCAGCCTAAATGTCAGCTGAGCCCAAGTCAAGGGCCTTGTCATGGACATTGCCGGCTCTAATCCAACCTTCTCCAGCTGTGTGACATCAAGCAAGCGACACTACTTCTCTGGGCCTCAGCTTCCTGCCTGAAGAGTGGGGCAGTCGCCCCGCCCCCGGCCCCCGGCACGTTAGCACGTCCTAGGTGAGCTACCTGTCAGCCAGTGTCCCTGCAGGTGCCCCACACACCTGCAGAGCCCCCCGGTCCAGGTGCATGGGCGGAGCAGAGGGGGGCTTGTGGGCCTCGTCTTCTGCAGGCATCCTGTGCGTCCTCCCTGGGTGGGGACGGTGGTTCATCCTGAATACGGCTCAGAGTGTCCTTGAGGAAGACACAGGAAGAGAGCTGTTGAGTGTCCTTACAGCAAAAGGGTTCCCCTCCGAGCCGAGCCCAGCCCCAGCGACTCCAGGAGGGAGCCAGATCCCCACTCCCGCTGAGGAAAGCAGAGGGCACGTGGCCTGCCCGTGGCCTTGTGCTCCTGGTCCTGCGGGCCAAACTCCCTCCTGCTAGCACCTCTCTGCTCAGCAGACAATGAGGCGCGGCAGCCCGTTCTCTGGGGAGCTTGTCTGTCCAGCCAAGATGCGTCTGGGCTCCCCAGAGGGGCACCACAGGCTCCCAGGCCCCTCTCCCTCCTCTAGGTCCCATACAGCGGAGGCAGGGGTCTGCCCAGGGGCTCCGGGCGGACCTGTCCCTCAACCGTCAACAAGTCCCCAACGCTGCAGTCGGGTGTCTCCGGGCGGCACCCCCTCCCCCTGGCCTCTCGCAAAAGGCAAGCCCGGTGTGCAGGGAGGAGCCTCCCTGAGCTGGCTCCCACACTGCAGAGTATTATTTAGGGACAGCTCAGCTCTGACCCACCGTCCACGAGGGGCTGGGGACGAGTCTGGGGAAGACCCCCCCCTGCCACTTCTAGCCAGGTTCTAATGGGTGTTATTTGCCTCCCTCGCTGCCTCTCCCACCAGACCGTGAGTCCTTCAGGCCTTCAACGTGGCTTCACCTGGTCTGCGCCCCCACCTTAGCCTGACACACATTAGGTGCTTAATAAATGTTTGATAGATGGAAAGGCAGAACCTGCAGAAAGACAGGTGCTCAGCACTTACTCAGCAAGCACTTATTAGGCTCTGTGTGTCAGGTGCTATTCTAGGTGAGGGGCGGGGGAAACAGAAGTGAATAGGTAACACCAGTCCGTCCCCTTCTCACCTGCCCCCCCCCAGCTCCTCACCTGCTCTCAATAGAGAGCATCGACTCCCAGCTAGGCTTCCTTCTCCTCCCCCAGTCCTGCTCGCAGTGCCAGGGAGCCCTCCTGGCATGCACTCTCTCACCTATAAGGCATCCCTTGGCTCCCCCCAGTCTGGGATGAGTTCAATGCTGCAGTGGGGTACTGCAGGCCATCCACGGGCTGCCAGGGGTGCCCCTGATGCACCTCACTCGGGTTTCTGCTCATGGCAGACTCCCTGCCCCTCCCCACCCTGGTTCGTGCCTGCCTCTGCACCTCTGCATATGCTGTTCCTTCTGCCTGGATAGCGTGTCTTCCTAGGAAGGATGTGGGTTGCCTGCACCTCACTCTCTGCCCCTCCCTTCCACACCCCACTCAGCATCAGAGCAATCCCACTGAAACAGAAACAGGATCAGGTGGTTCTCCTGTTTCCAACCTTCGAAGCTTCCCACTGTAAGGAAAGAGAAAACCCCTGCCCAGGGACATTGCCCCCACCCTCATTCTGCTCCTTAAAGGGACCCTGCTCCCCCCTGCGTCAGAGCCCTGCACCCCAAGTGCCTGCTGTCTGCCTCTCTTTCTGCCCCTCTGCCCAGCTAACCGGCTCCCCTCTGGGCTCAGCTTAAAGGCCAAATCCTCAACAAGGCCTTCCCTGGCCCTCCTCCAAATTAAGTCTGCTTTCTCCCTCAAGCATCTCCTCCTGACGCTCTGAGTTTGGGACCTTCCCGTTGTCTGTGTTACGTCCAGCATCTTCACAATCTCAATCTGGCCACACCGCAGAATCACCCAGAAGCTTGTAACAGTCACAAAGCAGGGCCTCAGCCCACACAGCCCCTGCAGCCAGACGGGCCTGGGCACCAGCATTGTGCTGTGGGCGCCAGGCCCGTTGACCCGTGGTGCCTGGTGCCGCCTCTTGCATTGATCCACCTGCTTCCTGCGTGATCAGAATGAAGCTTTCTGCCAGCATCTTACGGGCACCACTGGAAAGAGGCGGAGAAGGGAAGTGGACGAGAGAGAGGGCAGAAGAGAAAGGGAGCAGGAGAAAGGAATGAGAAGAAGAGGAGGGAACTGGAGGGAGAATGGGAGAGACAGAAACTCCGCCTGGGAGCCAGCAGGAGAGCGATAGCAAGGAGGACAAAGGAGCGGGCCAAGGAGAGTGGGAAGGGCAGCATCAAAGACCGGCACTGCTGCACCATTCAATGCTGTTCGGGTTTCCTTCCGATGCCCAAGGTGACTTCAGCTCGGTTCCACAAGTACTTCCTGCGCACCGGTAAGGGACAGGCCCTGTTCTGGAGCTGGGGATGCCACCATGGATAAAACTCACAACCCCTGCCTCGGGGAGGGGACCTGATGGGGAGGAGGGGCCATCCTGGAAGACGATGCTACCCCCCCTTCATGTGACAAGTGACAAAATCACTGCTCAGAGAGGGAGAGTGACTTGTCCGAGATCACAGAGCACACGGGATGGGAGAACAGAACCAGAGCTCAGGTCTTAAACTGGATCCGGGCTTTCTCTCACCCTGTCGACCCCTCTCTGCTCAGTCTGGTCAACCCTTCTTGCCCTCCTCTACTCACGGGAGCAGTGACCCCCAATTTCATGGGAATTGAGCTTTCATGTGCAACTATTTTGAAAGATAAGCAAAAAGAAGAACATGAGGAATACAGAGTAATCCAGACACAAACATGATCCATGTGTTAGAATATACCCTTCCGGGCTTTCTTCTTTGCAGAGACATTTAAATTCTTCCAAAAGTCTGTTTCTACAGAATGTCCATTTTTGCTTTGTGCATTTCTCATTTGATGATATCGAAGGATCATCTCCCCACAAGTTCCTCTATAATGTGGTGTTTTATAGCACCTAATAACCGCTGACATATGGAACGCCTTCACTTACCAAGGCTGTTCCTTCTTATGGGACATTTAGGTAGTTTCCAGTGTTCACCAACTATAAACAGTGCTGAGGTGCCTTTAATATCTGACAAATATTCAGAATAGAACAGAATCTCGAGCTTTCCTGTACTTATTTTGTAACTAACGCATTTGATATCTTTGCGTAAGGCCACTAACCATTCTTATTTCCTTGTACATTACTTGTACCTTTGTGGCTTTGCTACATTTAATTTTTTTGACATCACTGACCTGCGTTTGAAAGCCCTTGAGTACCAAATGTGCAATAGTCACCTCTGCACAGATGCAGAGTGAGCACGGAGGGGGCCGCCTGGGACTTGCCGAACAAGGAGACGATTCTCATAATCGCCACCAGGGGTCGCTCTGCCCACACTGTTGGGGCAGAGAGGCTCCAACAGTGTCAGCATTCCTGATGCTACTGTCACCAGGAGCAGGATCTCAGCTCGGGCACGACAGCCTGACACTGACATTTTTAAGTGTGTGACTTCCCATCTCCCTGCACAAGCCTCCCTCTAGGCCAGGCCACAGTCCCTGGGCTGTCCCCTGCCGCAGCAGTCTACAGACCAAGCCTCCACTGTCTGCACCTGTGTCTGTCTCCCCTATAAGCTTTCAAAGAGCGGGGTCATCCTTCCAGCCCCGGTGCCCGCACAGTGCCTGACACATGGCAGGTACTCAGGGCATGCTCGCTAGAAAGTGGACACATCCGCAGGCAGGCCTTTCTTGTCTTGCAAACCACAGTCCTTTTAAATTTCCTTTCACCCACACCCTGAGCAGAAACCCCCTCCCCAGACACCTCCCCACGCCAGGGTTTGTCCCTGCCGTGGCCTGTTCCTTCAGGGACCTGGGTCCCGAGTGATTTGCTCTGGAAACTGGCAAGTGTGTGATCCCAGGCAAGTCATGTGCCTCCCCTGGACTGTGGGGTTGGGTACAAGGATGCAGATCCCTGCCTGGCTACCTCTCAGCACTGATGAGATCCTGTTTGGAAAAGTGTTTGTAAATATGAAGCAAGTAAAACATCTTCCCATGATGATTAACATCACCATAACTCATACCTCGACGCCCGGGGGGTGGGGGCGGACGGGGGCTCCCTGGTGATTTGTAATGGTTTTCTATCTGATGCGCACTTCTCCGGGGCTAGACACTGCTCCAGGTTTCCCAGTTTCTAGGCCTTCCTCCAGCACTGCCATTGTGAGGCGGTCCCTTCGCTGGAAGTTTCCATTTGCCATGGACAGTGGAGCAAATATTCACACACCCGTGCAATGTTCTCAGAACTCTGCCTACAATTTCTCAGGTGTTCAATTCTACACCAAGACCCTGAAGGGCACTGGCAGTCTTGTTATCAATAGGCTCTAGCATTTAAATTTGAAATCTCAGCTACACTTCCCACGGGCTAGTAACTGGCTGGCACTTTACATCTCTCAGCGGCCCTCTCTTGCTCTCTTGCTCTCAAGATGGCCCTTTTCGATTCCAAAATGCTCCAAATCGGGACTGTCACTGCCCTCTGAGAGTAAGACAGAGCCTGGCAGACTGTCACATCCCATGGTCCTGGGTCCAGCCCCCATTCTAAATGCCAGGGCCCTCAGCAGTGACCCACAGACTGTCAGACCCCTTCCTCAGCCCCACGCCCTGCACTCAGATGGTTTGGTCATCCTGTGCAGGCAGGGGTCTGTCTTGGGCACTTTCCAGCCCCTATACCCAGCTAAAGCCCAAGCCAAGCGTAGGCACCAAGTGAGCACCCATGAGATGCTAATTACTAAGCCCCTGACCAGTATGCGCTGGAGGGGCACCACGAGCCCCACCACTTTGTATCTCTGTGACCCTGGGCAGGTCATGAGCCTCTCTGTGCCCCTACTTCCTCATCTGTGAAATGAGAATAAAATAGCGCCTCCCTCCGAAGATTGTGGATGGGCTAAATCAGTGACAGATACAGAGCCCAGAAAACAGTGTCTTGGCACAAAGATGCTCTAGTGAGTGTTGAGGATCATCGGCATCCACCCATGCAAAGCTGGAGAAGGAGCACATGTTCCTACCATCAAGGAACTGGAACCCACAGTTTACCACCATGCGGGTCTTCATAACTGTCATCCAGAGGGACACTTGTCATGGGTTGAATGGTGTCCCCCAGAATTCCCAAGTTAAGGCCTTAATCTCCAGAATCTCAGAATGTGACCTGATTTGGAAATGGGGTCTTTGCAGATGCAGTTAGTTACGATGAGGTCCATTCATGTGACCGGTGTCCTTATGAAAAGGGGACACTGGGCACAGAGATAGACGTGCAGACAGGGAAGACACAGAAACCAGATGGCTTCCACCAGCCCAGGAGAGAGGCTGGAACAGACCCTCCCTCACAGTCTCAGAGAGAACCAATCCTGCCGACACCCTGACTTTGGACTTCAAGTTCCAGAACTGCTGTTCAAACCACTCGGCTCATGGTCCTTCATTACAGCAGCCCCAATAAATGACAATTTCCATCTACACACGATTTATTTTCCAGAATTACAGTAAGGTGCCAATACTAAATGTACACTGGTTTCCTTTTATCTGATGGATAGAACGGAGGAAGAATGAATAGATCACGCAGAAGAGAAACAAGAGCATAAAGTAATTTTTTTAAATGGCCACAGGGAAACTCATTATTAATATGATCTAAGCAGATAGACACCATAGAGCATTTAAAATTCTAGTTAATTTGAAATAGATTTATCTTACCCAAAGAAAAATTTGACTTTTTTTTTTGTTAGTTTGTTTAACTAGTAGTCTTCTTTGGGTAAGGTTGCTCACTGATTGCTCCTTAAATGTAAACTGACCTGGTGGAAAGAAGCAGGATCTTGATCTCTTGGGAGGGGCTGAGTTAACTCTCTCTTTTCAGGAAGGCAGGCTGGTGCAGGAGAAACAGAGCACTTTGGACTCGCATCAAATCTGGATCAAGTTCCAGTTCTGTTCCCTACTAGCTGTGTGACAACAGATCAATGCACTACCTCTCTGAGCCTCGATTTCCTTACATGCGGGGTGGGGATACTAACAGTGCCCACCTCATAGTCTCCTTGAGCTTTAAATGAAATAATGCCTTTGAAAACCCCCAGGAGGGTGCTGAGCACAGAGCAGGAATATCTTAAACGTAAGTTTTTACTCTTCTGTCAGTCAAATGAATAAATAGATGTCCAATCTGCCTTTGCTTGCAATCTTAAGAAACTTGCCCAAGGTCACACAGCTAATAAATAAGAGAACCAGAAGGGGACCCAACCCTGTGTGTTTTCCGCTGCTAGTCTTGGGGACCTTCTGTGTGCTGATGGTGTGGGCTACAAAGACCCATCAGACACAGACCCTGCCCTCAAGGAGCTCACAGCCTAACGGAGGAGAAATGAAGATGCACATACAGCACTGCCAGCAGGGAACCATCCCCACCTTTGGGGCTGTGCGGGAGGTGGAAGAGGGGTCATCACCTTCGAAGGAGGGGATGGATTGGGAAGACTTCCCGAGCACATGGCAGTTACACAATAGTGCACACCCAAAGGGGCTCATCTGACACGGGGCCTGGCACACAGCAGGGACTCTAACTGCTGGAGAGATGGATGGACAGGAGGGAGCAGATGATAAGGGGTAAAGGGTAGCTGGCTGGCTCCCTGTAGAGTGGCTGGATGGATGGATTAGACGGGCAGGTGGTAGGGTGAACGAGATGGTGGAGGGTAGGGAGACAAACGGATGGATGTGCAAACAAGTGGGTGGTCCGTGGGTGGACAGGTGGATGGGTGGATGAGAAGGTGGACAGATGGCTAGTGGGGTGACTGCGCTGAAGGATGGGTAGATGAAGGTGTATGACTAGCTGTGCATCTAGGTGGGTAGGTGACTGATGGAACCAGGATGGATGGATGGGGCTGCTAGGTTGGATGAGTGGATGAAGAGGAAGACTAGGGAATGAAAGAGCTGGTGACTTAACACGTGGCTGTAGGCTAAAGTTAGAAAAAAATCGAAAAGTCACTCGTGCCCCGGGTTGCGGCCACTTACCCGGCTGCAGTGACCGGCAGGGGCGGCACTGCGCGCTCTCTCCCCCGGGGCCTGGGCCCCCAGCGCCTCGCGCAGGCTCTGGTTTTGCCGGGCGAGGTCCTCCACCTGGCCCTGCAGGCCGATCTCCGACAGCTTGAGCTCATAGATGCAGCAGCGCAGATCCTCCAGCTGCCCGCGGAGCCGGCGCTCTGTGGCGCGGTGGTCCCGAAGCCGGCGCGCAGCCTCGTCCTGCTCGCGCTCGCCACGCTCGGCCCGCGTCTGCAGGGCGCGCCGCTCCGCGGCCTCCCCGGGGTCGCCCCGGGGGCCAGCCCGGCCGAGGGGGCGAGGGCGGGGGCGGGGGCTGCCCGGGGCCGGGGCGTCCAGCTCAGCCAGCAAGAGGCCAGCCGCGCGACAGAGGCGCCGCACGTCCCGCTCCAGCCGCTGCACCTGCTCCCGCAGGCCGCGCTCCTGCTCGCGCAACAGGCCCAGCTGGAGCCGCTGGGTCCGCCGGCCCCGCTCCAGGGCCGCCGCCTGCCGACCCAGCGCCTCGTCCTTGCGCCGCAGCCGCTCCCGCAGCCGCCGGGCCGCGCGCTCCTTCTCCAGAACCTACAAGTTGGCGGTGGATGAGGGTGTCAGGAAGCCAGCCCCGGGACACACCGTCGCTCACACTGTCTTTATTTTAAACTTTCATATTTTGTGCATGGGTTTTTTTTTTGTGCATTAATTTTTGCATTAAAATATTGCATCAAATATTATTTATTTCATTACTGAGTTTTTTGGCGCCCACGCAGATTTTGCAGGGGAGGAGTGCCTCCCCACCTCACCCTCCTAGGAGCCCTGCACACCGGGAGGGAGCTCCCTGGGTCCTTGCAAGGAAACTGTCTGCTGGGCCGCGGGGGCATCAGCTGGTGCACACCGAGAGGGCCGCACCAGTGGTTTCAATACTGAATACCTCCACACCCGTTTGTAAAGAACTGTGACCTGGACCCACCTGAGTTTCCCCATGTCCACCCAGGACCTTCCAGATCTCTCCATTTCCCTAGCCCTAAAGGGTTAATGCCTGGCCCTGCAAAGGTCAGTCGGCCCTGGCTTCTGGCTGATGAGACACGGCACGCAGCTGTTCCTTATTGTGCCTACCCCCAAGCACTGGGCACTGTCACTAACCCCTTGGGACGCTCAGAAGCGGCTAGCACAATATCACTGTGCTACGGGTCACTATGGCCAGGATTCGAACCTCCATGTATCTGGCTCAAGGCTTTTTCTCCAGGTCTGGACAACACATCTCTTTGTTCTTGGACCCAGCCCTCTGCCAGCCCTGGAGCTGTAAGCGGGACCGGGGTGACCCGGCCAGGGTGAAAACGGGAGTCCTTGCCCAATTTCCACGAGGGTGGCACTGTCTCCATGTTAAGCTCTGTCTCAGCCCCTAGTGTGTGCCGAGAGCTGGCCGCTGCTGTGGCCCAGCTTACAGAAGAGCGCACAGAGCACAGTGGAAGAGGTAAGCCCGGGGACAGCTCAGCAGACTGGGTCTGACAGCTTGCTCTTGGGGGATGTGGGGCAGGTGAAGCTGCAGCCTGGCAGGAAAACCGCACCCAGCTATCCCGGAATCAGCTCCATCACCCGACTGGTCCGTCTTTATCGGCTTTCAGAACGACCACAGGTCACTACAGAAACGAGGTCGCTTTGCATATGCAAATGCTTTCTTGGGAACAGGACAAGAGGGCAAAACTGCCACTTGGCAAATAGCAGGTACACAAGGCAGAAAAAACTCATCCATGTGCTCCTAGAAAACTTGCTCTGAAACGTGGACATCACTAGAGGTTCAGGGCTGTAGCTGGGCTAAGTGGTCTCGGAGGGACCCTGAGCAGGCACCCCCACCCCTCTGAACTTGTGCCCCTCATCTGGAAGTGGGGTTTCCTGATAGGTCTTCCCAGGAGTGTATAGATCACATGACACGCTAATAAGGACACGCGTTCCGAAGACACCATAGCATCCTACAGACCTGCTGGTCCCACGGTGCCTCTGAGCCCCCTGACAGCATTGTCCCTGCTCCCACCCTCGTCCTGTGTCTCCTAGCCACACTGGGAACATCTCGTGACCGCAAGGGGCTGTGGCTGAGGCCCCTTGGAAATCCTACATGGATATAGGGCACGGCCCAACACATCTTTATTGAAGTATTTTCCAGAGAGAGATTACATCCTTCGAGGTGGGATCCCATACAATGCCACTACCTCCTCTCGGGACACCGACGAGAGCATGCTGTGGGGGCGGAGGACATTGACGGTACTTTCTGCAGCCGGACTTCAGTGCAGAGGGGAGAATGCACTTGCATGTCTCCCCTGGGGTCTCGAAGACGAATTTCAATTTAAATGAGCTCCTTATCTTTCCACGCTCCACATCCTGTCTCTGTTTTACCCCTTTCCTGCTGTTTTGACTGCTCCCCACTCTGAGAAAATACTTTCCCCCCGTGTCCCATGACACGCACGCATGTGCCATGGAAACAGAAGTTTCATGAAACAACACTCCTTGTATACTAATGCCCTTTCTTATTTCCTAGTTGGTTCCGTTTTTAAGATGCTGGTTGCAACACGGAACTCGTCTCACAACCCTCAAGGGGGGGCGTCCACCTGCAGTTTGATGGTCGCTGTTGGGCTGTCCAGGGGGGTGGGGTGGGTGAGGCTCTGAGAGCCGCATGCAGCCGTCCTGGGAGCCTGTCGTTTCTGCATCTGCAGTATTCCCCAAGTGTGCCCTACCTCCAGCCTTCATCATCTCCCCTGGAATCTTGCAATAAAGGCTAATATTTACGAAAGCAGCTGGTATTATTTACTGTTACTGTTGTGAGTGTTTTACACGTACCAACTCAATTAGCCCACACAACGACCCCAGTTGGTTGGTACTATATCATTCCCATTTCACAGAAGAGGAAACTGAGACCCAGAGAGGCTAAATCACTTGCCCCAGGTCACACAGCCAGGCAGTGTCAGAGTCAGGGTTTGGCACCACTCACTGCTTGTCCAAAGCACTAACTTGTCCCCGTGCCTCCACCATCTCTCCCTCTCTCCCTCTCTCTCTTTCTCTTTCCCAGGCAATTAGAATAATTTCCCCAAAACCCTGTCCTGAGCCTCTCCTGCTAAAGTCCCCTAAAGCCTGCTCCTTATTGCAGTCGATATTTGGTCCACAACGTGGTCCTGGCAACCTGGCCCCTCTGGGAAGCCTCCTGTCTCGCCAATGCCCTCTCTATGGACGCACCCTCTGCTCTGGCTCCGGTATGTTCTCCCACACTCCTGTGCCTGTGCACAGGCTGTTGTCCACACCTCACACGCCCTTCCCGTGAGGGCCAACTCAGTTGGCTCGGTTCTCTGTAGCTCCCCTCTACCCTGACTCCATGCCCACACACTGTGCCTGCACCATCCCCCCTGGCACCTGGCATCCAGTTGGGGAGTTACTTGTCTCCTATCCACGCCCCCACCTGCATGCCGGCTCCTGAGAGCAGGGACCCTACATCAGTCATCAGCTTATCCCTAAGCCCGAGCTGGCTTCCCTGGGGCCAGGCACAAGGGCCACAGAAATGAACCTCTGACCAAAGCTCCCAGTGAGGGCACGACTCCTGCAGGTCACCCAATGCTCTCACTGACCCCCTGCCCCCGCAGCGGATCCCAGCCGGAACCCTGGTGAGCCAGGCAGGGCGGGATGCGGATCCCATTGGATGGAGCGGCTGAGGCCCTTGCCCCAGGCGCCACAGCCCCGGCCTGCACCGTTGGAATCAAGACCCCTCTAAGCCCCCTGGCTGGGATTTCCCAGCACCCCCCCACCACTACCCACCATTGTCTTTGCTCAGCTGCAGCTGCCGCCTCCTCCAAGCACATGGGGCTACCCTGCTGGGTCAAGAAACAAGTTCTGGAAAGAGGGGACATGGTACCTGGCTGGCCAGCTCCCCCAGCAAGGCTTGCAGCTTCTCCTGGGCTTGGACAGCGGCGCTCCTTTCCTGTGCCATGCGGGCGCTCAGCTGCTCCACCGTCCGGAGGAGGTGTCTTTCGGAGAGCTCCAGCTCCTGGATTCTGCAGCATTGAAGCAGGAAGGTGCTTGGTTACTCAGGAGGCAGTAAACACGGCCTAAGATTTTCACTGACACTGAGGCCAACCTTTTTTTTTTTTTTTTTTTGGTTCATTTGGCCAATTTGAAATTCTGACAAAATCACATTTTGTGAAACATTCATACATATGTAAGATGATTTAGAATACTTCAGAGGTATCTATGGAATAATAATGCACGATGCGTCAGGAATCTTAAAGACTGTTCTCCCTCAACCGGTAATCCCAAGTTCAGGTGATACCAACAAAGAACTGAGCCAGAGACACGTGACCTAAGAGCTTCATCTGTATTGTTTCAATCAAGCCTCATATTACCAGCTTGCAGGTGAGTTCCCTTACCCTTACTTAACACACCAGAAAACTGAGAATCAGAGAGGCCAGGCAACTTGCCCGAGATCACACAGCATTCTAGATCCCAGACCATCTGACTCCTGAACTCATACTTTTAACCCTATGTTCCATTGCCTCCCATCTGAGCTACACTCTTTCGAATCTCTTCCAAGGAAATGATTGAAATTCAGAAAAAAGTTTCTGCAATTAAAATCACTAATCTTTGTTATTACTTACAGAAAAGAGCAGGTGGAAGCAGCCTCATAGTTAGGGACGGCCAAGCCACATGAAGCCTTTTCTTATCCTGGGGGAATGTTGAGCATACCTTCACTCCTCTGCCCGAGCCCACGCAGGGGGGCCCGCTCCCCCAAGACACACTCTGCCTCCCTGGGTCAGGCCCTAGCTCTGCTTCCTGACTCTGCCACCAACCAGCCATGAGGCCTTCACTGGGCTTGCTCCCCACCCTGGCCCATAGTCTCCCTATCTGTAAAATAGAGGTCATTGTACCTAGCTCGGAGCATTATTGTGGAGATTGAATGAAACGTTGCATGATGATCAATAATAAGGCCAAGAGTCTTCTCTCTTGCTCTAGTTCTGAGGCCCTGGGGAATACTCGTGTAAGTGACAGAAGGAAGTGTGCCTCTTGTGATCAAGTTCCTTCTAAACTGAACCAAGGAGTGGCCCCAGGTTATAAACCCCAGGTTTATAAGCAAGCTGAGCACCTGCTTGCTTATAAAACACGGTGATATCTGAAAGGGACAAGAAAAGCTTCTCTTTTCAGTTTTTGAGATCAACTGAAAACACTAAATAGGAAACATTTAACTCTGGTATTATCCCTATATTGGAAGCAGGAAATGACTAATCGCTGTGGCAGATTGAATATTGGCCCCCAAATATATCCAGGCTCTAATCCCTGGCACCCACGAATATTGCTTGAAATGCAAGAGACTGTAGATGTGACTTAGAGACCTGAAGATGGGGAGATGCCCCGGGCCACCCGGGTGGGCCCTGCCTGCCATCACTGGTGTGGGCATTTGACACGGAAGGTGAAGGCCAAGTGAGCCCTGAAGCCAGATGTTACCCTGCTGGCTCTGCAGGTGGAGGGAGCAGCCAGGAGCCAAGGAATGCATCTGTCCATGCTGGAAAAGACAAGGAAACATCCCCCTACAGTCTCGGGCAAGAGCACGCCTGCCCCCACCCCTCATCCCCGACAACCTTGGCGTTAGCCTCGGGATGCCGCTTTAGGACTCTGGCCTCCAGCACTATAAGACAATGCACGTATGTTGCTTTAAGCCACCAAGTTTGCAGTATTTTGTTTTCACAGCCTTCGGGAACTGATTTGCTCACAAATAGGAAATACATGATGAGGTACCATTTTTCACGGATTAACGACCAGTTAAACAAACATTAATAGGCAGTGCTGCAGATTTTTTGCTATGAAGCTGGGAGACCCCACCAGGGCAGCAGGAGAAATGGCTGGCTGCCATCACCACCCTGGGAGGGCCGCCTGGGTTCAAGTCCCAGCCCCCTGACATGGCTGGATGTGTGGGTAACCGTGGAGAGGTCACTTAACTGCCCTGCGCCTTCATTTCCCCATCTATAAATTGAGAATAACACTATCATCTGATTTGGGTATTGTTTTAAGGATTAAATACGTGAATATGTAAACAAACATGTAAACCATGCCTGGAACCGAGTAAACACTCAAGCATAGAGCTACCGATAAATCTGTGGCATTTAGGTTGGAGATGAATATGCATGATTGCTAGGGTAGTGAAGACGGGAGTGGGTTTTCTTTCTCAAATTTCTAACTACACTGTTTATTCTTTTTATCATAAATACTTTTTTAAAGATTTTTATTTATTTCGGGGGAGGGAGGAGCAGAGGGAGAAAGAAACTCAAGCAGATGCTGTGCTGAGCAGAGAGCCCCACGTGGGGCTTGATCTCACGACCCTGGGACCACAACCTGAGCTAAAACTGAGAGTCAGGCGCTTAACCAACTGCACCACCCAGGTGCCCCACAATAAATACTTTAGAATTTTAACTCTTTCACCAAAGTGGACCCCAATGTACCCTACTAACATTTACCTTACCCTGGCGAGATGACACCCATGGTGAAATTAACCCACGTGCATTCAAACCCTGGCTTCCCCTCTCAGTGACCCTGGATAACGCAGTCCATCCTCCCCGCCCCAGCTCCCCTCATGCAGGGTGGTGTGGCCCACCTTCCGAGAACAGAGGACACAGCCCACACTTCCCCACAGGCAGGTCCAGGATGCTCCCTTTGAGCGGCCTCACCCCGGGCCCCAGCCGCCGAGGCCCCCTCTCCTCCATTGCTCATGGTGCCCCTAGGGCTCTCCTTGCACAGAGGGGTCTCCTTTGGTAAGTTTCCCACCGTTTTCTCCGGGCTCGAAGACTTTCTGGTTTTTGCTGCCAATCTTTCCAGAGAAAGATTTGAAACCACAACCACGTGGGGTTACAGTTCAGCTCTCTCCAGGGCTGGGACGGCCCTACCTTCCCTGGGTCGCAACCCCCAGGATTTATGTTATGGGCTGATTTGTGTCCCCTCAAATTCGTATATTGAAATCCTACCCTCCAGGACCTCAGAATGTGACTGTATTTGGAGACGGGGCCTTTACAAAGGTAGTTGAGTTAAAATGGGGTCATCTGGGTGGGCCCTGATCCAATCCGATGGGGGTCCTTCCAAGACCAGGAGACTAGGACACAGACACGCACAGAGGGACGGCCACGCGAGGACACAGAGGGACGGCCACGCGAGGACACAGAGGGACGGCCACGCGAGGACACGGGGAGAAGGCAGCTGTCCACACCCCACGGAGAGAGGCCTCAGAAGGAACCAACCTGCCCACACCTTGAACTTGGACTTCCAGCCTCTGGGACTGTGAGACAGTACAGTTCTGTTAAGTCCCCCAGTCTGTGGTACTCTGTTAAAGCAGCCCGAGCAAACTGACATAACTCAGCACATGACTCTGGGGTGGGCTAGAGCAGGCGGTAGAATGAGTGAGAATGAATGAATGAATGGGGAATGAATGAATGAATGGACAATCACATAAAGTAACAAAACAACTTTTCTGATGTGTGAATTTCTTCCTGTAAAAAGTCTTACAAAGAGGAAAAAAAGATAAAAACCACATGTAAATACACATTTAATGACTTGCCTTTATTAAAATGAAGGAAAATACAAAAAACGGTGAAGTCCCAGACAAATCCAAGACACTTGGCTGCTGGGATGGTGGTAAGGCTGTCTGGATGGATCCCAGGCATTACCGTTCTGCGTTTCCATGCTGGATTTCTCCCCTGACATGCATGCAGGGCCCCGCCTCACTCTGCTGGCCTCAGTATCAGATAACGGTCATGAAAGAGCGCGGGCTTGGAGGAGGACCTGGGCTCACATGCCAACCTCCGGACCCCATCGCTTCCACCAGGAGAACAGTACCCAGGCCAGGAAGGTCAGCAGTGAGAAAGAAGCACAGAGAGTCTGCTGTAAGGATGGAAGAGCTAAAGGGCCAGACAGAAAGGACTGGCAACCCAGAGATAAGCCACTGCCAGGCACCCCTCCTGCCCCTGCGGCCCGTGGGACACACAGGGAGGGGGCGGTGATACTGGGCCCAGGAGCCAGCCACCAGGCGGGGGAGGACCAGAGAGGAGCCCGAAAGCATGGCTGGGTCGCTGTGGGATGTCACTCCTGGCAGGAGAGGGGAAACCCTGGTCTCTCCCTTCCTCCTCCCTTTGGTGCCTTCCATTGGCTGGGCCCCCATGGAAGCTGGAGCTCGGGAGCCTGGGACACGTTGCGGACTCAGCCCCCGACCTGCGCAGCAGAGGACGGGACAGGACAGAAGAGGAACCAGAGGTGGGGCTGCCCCGGGCATCCACGTCCTCAGCCGCAGAAGCAACTCAACACACTGATCGAACCCCATTAGGATGCCCAGGATTCACTAAATACACCAAGAAGAGGTGCAAACACTGTATTTACCTGCTCCTCAGTCCAGCCTCGGACATCACGTACTTGTCCACAGTTGCCAAGAGCTTTCGCTCGGAGGATTCCAGCTGCTTCCTGAGCGTGCCCGTATCCACGTCTGGGCTTCCGGCTGCTCTGTCCGCAGGACGGCCCCGCTCCTCACCGCTGTCCTCTGCGTCCTGAAATACCCAGCGAGTGTCGATCTTCACATCAACGTTCATTACGTCAAACCCATCACTGCTGGGCGCTCTGACAACGTAGCTGAAGCTTTTCTCGGTCCGTCCCGTAGCTGTGGGCTCCATCCCATACAAAGCTCCCACGTCAGGACGTCGTGACATTAAGTGGATTTGCAACACTGACTTTCTGGAGATCTCGAGATGTCTGCAGGGCCTTCAGATTGTGCAGAATACCCTTTGAGGAGGGCAAGAACAGGTGAATTATTCACAAGTGGGCCTTGGGTTTCATTCACACGCGTCATACAATACAAATGAACGCCTCTCGGTTTACAAGCTGGCATGCCAGGACGCACCCAAAGCAAGAAAACATCGCAGAAAAGTCACTTGGAATTTAATGCTTAATGATGTGCACAGAGAGGTAAGGTGAAATTTCCAGGCAGCACCATGAGAAATATAAATTCTCAGCGGTGCAGCTCAAGTTTCACCCTCCTGTATGAGTGAATACGCTCTATGCCTCCTCTCTGAGGACGGGAAACATTAATCAGGGACCTAGGTCTAGTGCTGCGCTCTGCGCGTCGCCCGAGATCTCAGTCATGTCACCCTAGCTGGTCCAACTGTGCTGGTAACCCTAGGAGGTGAGCATTATCATACCCATTCTGTAGATGGTGAGACAGAGGCTCACTTCCTAAGTAATCCTAGGAAGTGGGCATTATCATACCCATTTTGTAGAAGGTGAAACAGAGGCTCCAGAAGGTGGAGGAGCTTGTCCAGGCCTCACATAGGAGAAGTGCTAGAATCAGGATTCAAACCTGGGTCTGAATCCAAAACCCAGCAGGTGAGAAATGACTGCATCACAACCCCGGCAGGAGCAAACATGTCTTGTGGGAGGGAGCCAGGGGCTGGAGGGACTGCAGCTGACAGAGGCGGGCACAGGATTCTGCCAGGCGGGGGCAGCCTGGGGGTCCCAGACCCATGGCAGCGTCAGGACAGATGAAGGGAGTGGCCGGCCCTGTGGGTGCTCAGACGGGAAATGAGGAAGGACAGACGGTGGCTTAGGGCCATGTCCATTTGGACCTGGAGCTCCAGGGCAAAGACTCTGGCATATCTCGGGGGCCACGGGGGGGGGGGGGGGTGTCCTGGGAGTGTTTAGAGGCAGGAGGGCCTGGTCAGATATTGCTTTAAGGACGGAGCCCTCTGGGGCATGCAGGAGGTGACAGGGTAAGCCTTTTGCCAGCTTTCTGACCCAGGGATGTCTCTCTGAAGTGCCTGGGGACCATCTCTGTGGAATGCAAACATCCAAGGAAAATACAACCCTGTCTCCCAGGTCCTATAGGAGGTGAGGGGCCTAACTTCAGGGGATGCCTGGCTCCACGCCCCAAAGCCACCCTGTCATAAAGACAAGAAAAGTTTTGTTCTCCTTTGTATAAAAAAAAAAATAAAATGAGATGAAAATTGAGAGGAAGGCAAACCATAAGAGACACTGTTAACTCTAGGAAACAAACTGAGGGTTGCTGGAGGGGGATGGGGTAACCGAGCATCAGGCATTAAGGGGGTCACGTGATGTGATGGGCACTGGGTGTGATATACAACTGATGAATCACTAAATTCTACCTCTGAAACTAAAACAACAAAAAAACCCAAATTAACAAATACAGAGGGTCACCCCAATGGCAAGGTGAATTTAGGGTGACCTAGGCATAACAGATGGTGCTGTCAAGTCCTCTTATTGGAAAACTGATCACTATTATCCTGAGGACATGTACAGAATGGATTGTGGCTGCTTGGCTAATAAGGGATGAGATGTCTTTCTGTCTCTGCAAATCTCTGAGCAGAGCACCTACGATGTGCATCACACTCTGGTTTGATGCTCATTCAAGAATAAACATGCTTCCTTTCTTATCTACCTCCATGGAGAGGTCTTCTGGGTTGGGGGAAGGTTTTGTTTTAATTACACTGCTCCAGCAGTGGCCGGTGTGCTGGGGTGACCCACAGAGCTTGCGACAGACATGGAGGCAGCAGGGTCGGGTGGCGGCTGAGAGGGGGTGTAGTCAGGTGCCTGGACCACATTGCATGGGATTGAATCTCATTTCTATTCTCAGAATCCAGGGAAATTACTTAACTGCTGGGTATAGTCTGGGGGGGCATAGTTTGGAGTCTGCAGAAGCCCCCAAGAGCTCTTAGACAACCTCAGGGAGGAGCACCCCCAAATTGGCAGGCCTTTAGCAGGTTCTGGTTAAATGTGAGAAAACTGGCAAAAACAAACATGTCATTGTTTGTACTGGGACCATGGGGCAGGATTCCATGGGTCACAAACTGGCTATGGAAGCTGAGGGAAAAGCTGGAGCCAGAAGGGACCGTGAGACTTTCTGCCCACAGGATGGAAGGAGGGGGAAGAAAGGGGGAAGGAGCGCCGGTGGGAGGAAAACTAATGAATTTGCTCAGACGGGTGTTGAGCTCACGCCGAAGCACCGTGTTCATCTCTCCAAGGTAACCCTGACAAGGAACAGCGGACGCAGTGCCCCTGCAGCCAGCTCCCTCCCCCACAGGGCCTCAAACTGTGGCCAGGTGCCGTCAGTAAATCTCGGGCCTTTCGGGTGAACTAAGCATCCATGCAGCACACAGGCCCCCCACCCGTTTGCATTTCACAGAAGTCGAGCTCAGGATGCGCCGCGGAGAGCAAACACATCCGTGAGCATCGGCAACCAAAGTGAAGTGGGGCCAGCAGCCAAGTCCTCGTGCTGTACGTGGACCCCCTCGTCCCAGCTTGACTGGGACTTACCCCACTTTCAAACTGGAAGTCCCACATCCCAAACGGGGATGGCTTGTCAGCCTGCGTTGCTGGTCTCCTGGCCCACAGCGCTGCCAGAACGGCAGGGACAGAACACAGGGGTGACCCCGGGCTTCCCTGCCCAGCTCCGCACGGGTTGTCGCTGGCCACGGAGGAGCCAGGAATGAGGGGGAGGGCCTTCCCCATGTGCCAGCAACTTGCCAGGGCTCTCTCCCTTCAGCCTGCCAGCAGGTCTGTGAGGAGGGGGGTGGGAAAGGGTAGACCCAACCCTTCTTCCCACACGAGACACTGATCGGGGGTTCAGCTGACCTCGTAGCTCTGCTGCCCTGGGAGCCACACCCGCGGGGGACGTTGTGCTACGAGGCAGCCATGAGGGGTGTACACCCCCTCCTGCAAGCGGAGGGCTGTGATGGAGTCTGGGTACACGTCTGCTGGGCCACCAGAGCTCCGGGGGCCCCTGATTACAATGGCTCTTGGAACCAGGCCTGTCCCTGGCAGGGACCTTGGAAGCAATGCCCGGGACGGTCACAAGAAACACTAGCTCCTGCTGGGGGACTTCAGGTTTCTAAGCCAGGGCTGCTCCCATACCTGCTGGTGTGGGTCTCACTCCTTTGCACCTGCACTGTCTCAGAGAACGGCTCCTGGTCCCCCAGGGGTCAGGTGGTCTCCTTCGCCGACAAGTCCCACCAAGGGAGCCATGGGTGCTGCCTGTCACATCTCCTGCCAGGAGAGAATCCTGCAGGTCTGTCTAGTTATGCCCCATGGAGACAAGAGGCAAGGTGTTGCATGGAAACCATCACCCCCATCCCACGGAGAAGAAGTTAATACTCAGAGCAGCAGGTACTTTGCGAGTGTCTGCTGCGGGAAAGGGGCCAGGCTGGGAGTGGACCCAGATGGGTCTGACTTCAAAGCCAACAGCATTCCTGCCCTGTTGTCTGAGTGGGAGAGCCGAGCAGACAGAAGAACGCGGGCAGGAGGGCATGAGGACCACCCCCCTGGATGCTCCTGCAGTGGGGAGAGGCTGGGCACTCGGTGCCTCAGAAATGCTTCCCAGAGACCTGTGTGCACCTCCGGACTTTTGTCTACTAAGTTAGCAAAGCAATGGCTCTCTGTGCTGCCTGAGCTCCCAGGGGAAGCGGATGGGTGTTCATTTTCACTCACTGCATGGTTCCACGCTCCCTTTGCTACCCAGGATGCTCAGCTGTCTGTCTTCAACCAAAGACATGAGTTCATTCCCATTTGGATACCAAATGTTGGTAAGTCGTGGCAGGTGGCCCCTGTCACCTGCTCAGAGTCCTGCTCACTCGCTTGCACACCAGGTGTGGCAGGTGCTTTGGGTTTAGATTGCAACAGAGAATGGTCACTTCTCAGCTGTCCTGGTGTGCGTTTGCTTAGAGCGCCCCCCTGCCCCAATTCTTTGATTTGGTTTGGACATCCCGCCCCCTCTGGCTGGGGCACCCCTTCTGTGCCCACTGCAACATCCTTCTCCATCCTTGGGTTTGCCCTTCTGAGAACTTCCAGCCCCTCTGCTGGGCTCCCATCTCCGTGGACCCCCTCAGTGGCCTCAGTCTCAGTCACTTGGTTTTCTCCCAGGGTTCTTCTTACTAGAAATCCCAGGTTGCTCTCAAAGCCCAGCAAACACAGAGCAGTGAATCTTCCCATCCTTGGGATCAGCCCGATCCCTGATGGTCCTCCTAGGGCATTCATCCTCTCCTTCGCACGTTCCGTTTCACTTCATCCCTCCTAATTCCACATGTCTTCTTCCAGAAGTTTAGGAGAGAACGGTCATGTGAGCAGGGGCTTCTTCTGCAGACGCTCGCCCACCTACCCCACTCGCCCTAGGATAACAGCAGCAGCAACACCCCCAAGTCACTTCCCTTCCGAGGGGCTCCCTCTGGAGCCAACTCTCACCAGCTCCTGCCTGCCCTCCTTGGCTGCCCCACTCCGTCTTCTAGGAGGTTCCATTCAGGGGCCCGTGTCCTGAGATCAGGAAGGGCTCCTTCCTCCATGACTGAGAGAGCAGCACTGGGGTCAGAGGGAGGCTCGTTCCCCATGGACGTGCCACAGAACGCTCCACCTTCCAGCATTTTCCCTCCACAGCGCCTTGCAAATTACAACCAAGATGAAAGACAGCCTGGGACTGGTGTAGTCTGTGTCCACCTTCTCAGTCCCCACTCTGCATGGCCCCAGGGACAGTCATGCTCTGCGACTGTCGCCGTGTCACACCCACAAGAGTGAAAGAGCTTGTGGCTTCTTTCTTGGAAATCTGAGGCCCTTGGATCCACCCTCCACAATGGGCGAGCCTCCAGCCCCTCGTCAGAGTCCTGCTCACTCGCTCGCTCTCTCTCCCTCCCTCCCTCCCTGGTCGCCACCTGCTGGATCAGCTGCATGGGGATCTGAAGGGATCTGCTGACCAGGGTTTGAATTTGGGTTCAGGTCACAAGGACATTTGCAAGTCACTCTGGCTGACAGATTCCGGGCTACATGAAGCACAGTTCATGGAGACATATGTACATAGGTCTGGCCCAGCTGGTCACACCCCGGTGGCCAGGGGAGGCATGCAGCGCAGGGACAAGGACTCCGGCCTGGTCCCTGACAGTGCAGTGGCCCTCCAGTGACTCAGTTTCTAGTAATTGCACTTAGTTTCCTGGTATTCAGGTCTCTGCCCCTCGGGCTTTGAAGGTGCCAGAGTGGGGACTCAGAGGTGGCCCCGAGCTCGACAAAAATCCCCATCATCTTCAGGGCTCCTCCAGCTCGGCCCAGCCAGGACCCAGCCATGGATCCAAAAAGCTTCCTCATCAAGTATGCGTGGATTCTGTTTTCAGTCTCTGGCTTGAAGTAGCTTGTTTTGCTGTTGAATTTTGGTTTGAGTGGGGTTGGGGCTGCCGTAGGGACTCAATTTATTCCATAAGCTCTTTTTCTATCCTGTAAGATTAAAAAACAATTTGAAATGCTGTAAGACTCAACGTTAAAATGGCTGGGGAAGCCCCTGGCTTATCTCCCCTACCTGCCCCCTCTGCTGTCCCAAACTCTCCAGCTGAGCCCACTGAAGGACCTTCCCTGACCATGTAGGGTAAGAGGAAATGGGACTTGGATGGCCTGTCCTCCAGTACCTACCCCACCCCCCATGGTTACCCTCACTCCCCATCTGATTAGGTCTGGGACCATCCCTTTACTCACTACACAAACACTGCATGAAGGTCGACCACGTGCCAAGCACTGACCTAGGCCTTGGGACACAGGAGATACAATGCAAAGCCCTTGCGTTCAGGGGCCAGGCTCAGGGCTCCCATGAGAACATCAGGCAGGGGAGGAACCAGCAGCAGAGCTCAGCCTGGGAGTCAGGACAGCTATTGGGCACTGTGGGCATCCCCAGAGCTCAGAGGGCTCTCAGCTTGGGCTAGATTCAGAGACAGAACTGTAGATCCTAGGGGCCCTGGCAGATGCCCCCCAGCCCCAAGGTGGACACTCAGAGCAAAGAGAATGCGGAAGGACATGGGTGCCCAAGCAAGAACTTGGTGAGAGCTGGGTCCCGGGGGCACGCAGGGCAGAGCAGGACTAGCTGCCCCGATGGCTTCCGTTCAAGGTCCCTGAGCATCAGAACCAGGCACAAGGTTAAGGGTGGGGGAGGGACAGGGAGCTGGGGGCTCTTCACACAGGCTTCCTGGGTATTGTGTGGGCAGGTCATGGACTTGCCCATCAGTCTCCTGCTCCTGAAGACCCCTGACCCCAGAAACCCGCTATGGTCTGGTCCACAGGCAATAGGGAGCCCCAGAAACTAAAGCCAAAATAGAAAGAAACTTTGGAAAAACCACACCCCCCCTTTGGAAGATGAACTACAACAGGGCGACAACCAGGTCCCCACTGTCCCTTCTTCTTCTTCACAAAGACCTCTCCCAACCTCCCTCTGAGGGGTGGGACTCGCCAGAGACCCCTGGTGGCCCCCACCCCCCCGCCCAGGGAGCCAGGGAGCTGAGGCATCTGCCACAGGCCACCTTCCACGGAGCCTCAGCGCTCAAGGAATGCTATGGTCAGAAATGGGAGAAATTCTCCTTTTCAGAAAATCATCATGTTTATCTGTGAAATTAAAAGAATACCAACCCGAATTCTTTGCTTAGTGAAGTCTTCAAGGCCACAGAATGAATGCTAGTGAGAAAAACAAAAAAAGGAACAAAAACTATAAAATAAGACCAAAAGAAAATGAGGGGGGAAAAAAAAAGAAAAGAAAGAAAGATGTAAGATACATAGTATGGGATTCAGTGACACATTTCACAAGAACTACCGTACCAGGGTCGGGTTCAGGAGGGGGACAGGGAAGTGAGCAGGCCTGGGCAGCTGACCTCACCGGGAAACCCGTCCTCTGGAGTCCCTCTGCACCCCCAAGTGCTCTCCCCAAACCCCTGGCTGACTCAGACAGACCAGGATGCTTTCGGCGCTGAGACGTGGCTTTCCTGTAGACGGTGGCAGGACGCGCTACAAACAGAGAAAGGACCCTCCCATGGTCACGGCTGGTGGCTCCCACCAAAGGCCGGGCCTGGCCGGTGCCCAAGGACCAGGCATGTTCTCCTCGGGCCACAGGCCCCCCAGACCCACCTGCCCACGAGCAGACGCCCTCCCCACTGTACCATCTCTGCCAGGGCCCCCTCTCCCAAGAGATTCAGTTCGTCTGCTTTAAAAGAAAAAAAAAAAAATAGCAGGGGGAAAAACTGGCCTTAAAGGAAGAAAAAATTACACAGATCAGTTTGAAAGTAGACTTCTCTTTCTGAACTGAATTCATGACCCGCTTTGTTCCGAAAGAATTACTGCTCGTTAGGTAATGATGATGCTGTCGGAGCATCATCCGGGGCTTTTGAAAATCATTCTCCCTCCCCCCATGAGGTACTAACTCCCCTAATTTATTGAAAAAATTAAAATCCAAACAGACAACCACCAACTTTTACACAAGTTTTAGAGTCATTGGAGGTTGGAGCCGGACGGGGCTTACGTGGAGTCACCCACTGTCATTTTCTACGTGGGGAAACTGAGGCCCGAGGAGGTGGAAGGACTTGCCAAGAGCACCCAGTGGGGTGTGGCAGGGAAGACTTCCTGGCCACTGGCATGAGCCACGCCGCTTGCCCCCCTCGGCAACTGCTTTGTGACAAAAGGACACAGACCATCCCGCACACACTTGCTTTCAGACAAGTGGCAGATGGGGGCTTCAAACATTGCCCAGGAGGCCTCCTCACTAAAAATGCCGCCTGCCTTATTTTACGTGCGTGCCTAGACCACCTTGTAAAACTTTAATCAGCCAGACAACTGTGGTGTGTTTGAAGTCTCTTTGCTGTCCTTTCCTGTTCTGTGACCCATTTTGCCCACTTGAGTCCTAAAGCCCAGCTGGGGGACTGAGACGCAGAACCAACGTTGACGACCCACCGACCTCGTCTGGGCCTGGGGCTCAGAACATCACACGCCCACGCTCATGCAATCCTCACAACCACCCCAGAAGACGGGGAGAGATGCGAGCCCCCAGGCCGGGGCGGACGGATAAATCCCCCAGGGTTCCAGGGCCAGCCTGGGGCAGAGCCCAGACACACCTGCCTGCAAGGCCAGGTTATCCCCGGAGATTCTTGGATGGAATTAGACTTGAGATTCCCTCGGGACCTCAAAACAGCCCCAGATGGTTGCGGTGGCATCTGCAGACGGAGACACTAGGCATCCGCTGAAACCAGAATCCCACTGAGGTTCCCAGGGCTCTAGTGGGAGAACTGGCCCGAATCCCTGGGTTAAGCCGGCCCGCCACGACCCTCTGCTGCCCCCCAGAGGACACTGCCAGTTGTGCGGGCCGGAGGCGCAGAGGCTCTGGATGGAGAAGGAAGGTGACTCCTGCATCCTCTCGGGAAAGGGGAGGAAGCTTCTAAAACTTGCTTAGCATCATCTGAAGAGCTGTCCTGTCTCTTTGGGTCCACGGTGTTTGATTGCCTCCAGGATGGGGAGGGGCCGTTTTCCCATTTTTAGATTATCTGCCCAGAAATCGGTCCTCGGGGGACTTCTGTGACTTTGGCCCCACTTTGCCCATGGGGGGAATTGGTGTCCTCTCTCTTAAGACCCGAATCAGGCAATTGAAGCCCACCAATGCCCTTTCTCCCTCTTCCTCCCTGGGGTGACTGCGTATCAGCCTTCGAGGTTGACTGGGATCCCCTCCTTGGGCACATCGTCCCCGATGACCCCCGGACGGGGCTGGAGCTTTCGTGTGGCTCCCGCACGTGAGCTTACCTCTGTGACACAGAATGTGCAATGACAGGCTTTGCTTTACTCATCTATGACTCATCTATGACTCGTTTGGCCAACATGTGAGGTGCCCTATTCCATGGTGAGAACTGTCTTGAATACGGCGATGCATACGAGCTGGTCCCTGAGCTCAAGGACCCCGTGGTCACCGGGCGGATGTAAGTGGGGGGACGCAGATGCCACACGCGTGGTTCTGAGGGGCAGCTGTCTGTCTGCCTGGACCAAAGGAACATGCTGGAGGGGCTGAGTGGTGGCTGCAGCACCCAGGAGACCAGCTACACCTTCCCAGCTGCGGAATCAGGGTCCAGTGTCTGAACCCATCTCCGGCCCAGGCTCCCCACCCATAAAATGACACTAACGCAGAGAGACACATGAGGCCAGGTGCCAACATGGGACAGGTCAGCCTTGCTTCCCGGCGGGAGGGGAGAGACTCCCAAGAACACACAACTGGGTTTTGGCACACAGAGGTCATCTAAGGTAAAGTCCGTGGGACAGAACCAAGCCTGGCTTATCGCTCCAGAGAGGGTCACACCGTCCCCGAAAGGTCTTTTGTGAGGGAAAATAAAAGACATCTCACCCCCCACTTCGCCCACACACAAAGTTGGTCCCAGACTGCACTTTTCTTCCCTAGAAAAGCCTTTGAAGGAGCTACTTAGTTCGTGGATGTGCCCATCTTGGGGGCACTGGGGCAGAGAAGGGAGGCGGGAGGCAGCCCCTTCTTGCACTACAAAGCTGGCAGCGCAGAAGGACAAGGCCCCACGGTGACCAGTCCCAGCAAGAAGCCCCGGGGCGGGGGAGGGGCCGGGTGCCCCACCTACCTTTTCCTCAAGCTCCTTCAGATGTCTCTTCTGGATCTCCAGCTTAGCCTCCAATTCTCGGATTCTCTGAAACACACGACCTCATGCATCAGAAAAGGTAAAGTTTCCAGGTTCAAAACTTACTCTTTACTCTTGATCGTGGTGTGGCACACAAGCAGAGAATTGGGCAAATGCAGGCGGGCAGTGTGACTGGCTTTTAGATGTGTGCAGGACCATATCTCCACCGCCCGAATCCAGATAGAGGGCCCCCACCGGGAGGCTCCTCGGGCCCTCCGCCCTCCAACAAGGAGGGTTGATATTGCCTGTTCTTGAAGCGCACGGAAACGGAATCACACGGGGTGTGGACTCTTCGGACAGGGTCTCTCTAAAACAGAAGCATCCCCCCTGGACCAGGACACGCAGACACCCGGTGCAGGCTAATAAAGAGCATGGATTTGAAGTGGCATCAGATGATGTACTCGTGCAAGACTGACTTAGCTGGAGGCGGGGCGCTGAGCGGAGGAAGCAAGGACCGGCTTGTGGCCATCACCCCCTCATGCACCCCAGCCCCTTAGAAGCCCGTTCAGCACAGGTGCCAGGATGGCCAAGCGTCCCGGTTTGCTCAGGACATTCCTGGTTTTGCCATTGAAGTCTGGAGTCCCTAGAAACCCTTCAGCCCCAGGAAACCGGAAAAGCTGGTCACCCTGCCTGCGCCTGTGTCTGCCAAACGCCCCTTGGGGCACTCACCCCCGCGCCAGGGTTTACCAGCCCGTTCCTTCCAGTTCCACACGGCATCCCACCCAGGATGTCTGGCAAGCATGAACCTTTTCCAGACTGTCACATGCCCAAGAGTCACCCCTCAAGGGCTGGTACCCACCGCCCCCCTGACCACTGCCCAGCCGGCTACAGCCCTGCCAGGGCTGCACGCAGACGGAGAGTTCACTCCTGCAGAGAGTGCTCGGGCTGCAGGGTGGGCAACCCAGGTCAGGCCCAATAAGCACGTGGCCTCCACGGACATTTAGCCAGGCCTGGAGAAGCATTCCGTGCATTCTGTAGGACAGTGGTTCTTGAATCCAGATTAATGTCACCTGGAAGGCTTACAGATCACTGGGGCCCCCCCAGCAGAGTTTCTGACTCAGTTTCGGGGGGGCTGAGCCCGAGTAGCTGCACTCCAGCAAGTTCCTGAGTGATGCAGATGCTGCTTGTCTGGGGACCCACTTTGAGAACCACCTCTATGGACACATTCACCCACTCAACAAATATGGGTCAATATGCCTGGGGCCCTAAGGAGTTTGCAGTCCAGCAGAGTTCATACAAAAGCATTATTCGGGTACCCAGATGGTGCACTGGATGAATACAAACGTCACGGAGCAAATCAAGCAGGGGTAGGGAAGGGGGTGGGGTGCTATTTTATGTGGGTGCTCCAGGCAGGTGGCGCTGGAGCCCAGAGGGCAGAAGAGTGGGGCACTGAGCTGTGAGCTGGGGAAGCCAGAAGAGGCAGAGCCCAGCCCAGCACCCACAGCGGTTTGCTAGACTTGGAAGGGGGAAGGGAATTCCAAGCAGAGGGGAGAGGGTGCACAGGGACGTGGGGGTGGGGGGACGGGGCAGAGCTCAGAGGGTCTGGAATGTCCCACTGAGGAGCTCACAGGTTTGGGGGTGACATGGGGAGCCTGTGAAGGGTTTTAAGCAGGGAAATAATGAGAGTTTGATTTTGGCAGAAACAGAACGGACTGGCATGGAAGACAAGAAAATTACTTATCCTCAGATACGAGCTCTCGGGCAAGTGATTCAACCTCTCTAGGCCTTGGTTTCCTGATCTGTAGATTGGGGGTAATCGTGTTGCCCACATCTGAGGATCTAACAAGTGACTCTGCACCAAGGGCTCAGAGCGGAGTTGGCATAGAGTACACACCCTATAAAGGATTAGGAAACCCATACGTTTCTAATTCTCTTCCACCTGAGGGAAGGGGTGTGTACCTCAGTGTGGCCATGACCACCCCCCAAGGATCCCCTTGCAAGGTGACGAGACAGAGAGCACCCAAGAATGAGCACAGAACTCAGCTGGGGGACACCTGGCTGGCTCAGTCAGTTAAGCGTCCTCCTTCAGCTCAGGTCATGATCTCAGGGTCCTGGGATTGAGCCCCGCATCGCTTCTCCTTCTGCCTGCCGCTCCCCCTGCTTGTGTTCCCTCTTACCCTGTCTCCCTCTCTCTGTCAAATAAATAAATAAAATCTTTAAAAAAAATCCTATATTCAGCAGCTGCTACTTTTGAAAATTACAGCTTACAGACAATGTACACCTTTCGTCAAGCACAGTAAACCCATTCCTACCTCAGGGCCTTTGGACTTGCTGCTCTCTGCACAGAGTCTGGGGTTTCACCTCCTCATCATTTCCCACCTGTCCTCTCAGCCTTTCTGACACCCTTGGCATTTATTTGTGTTGTGAGTTTCCTCACTGGATTATAAGAGTATGTTCTTCTCCACGAAAGCAGGGACTTGGCTCACTGCCCCAGCCCCAGCGGCCAGACCCGTGCCTGGCACATGATAGGTACTCGACCATCGAAAGCAAGCAGGAAGCCACAACACCTCGCTTTTGCCGGCGCCCTGTTGTCTCAGGGCTTGCTGGAAGGAAACCCTCCCCTCTGCTTGGGCATCGCACCCAGATGACCAACTCCAGGAAATTCTGTTACAGGGAACGGATGTGCTCTGAAGTCTGAGCATCTCTTATGAAGGCACCGAGATGCCGGGCGGGGGGCCCTGTGCCGGTGGCTGTCACACGTGTGGCACTTGGCAGGGGCGGGGAGCAAGGAGCAGCGAGCGCCGTGGCATCTCAGACACCCCTGCACGTGCCACACCAGGAGAGTCTGGCCAGGCATTTCCCCCTCGAGGCAAAGCCTGGAGGCAGAGCTGCTCCAGATTGCCCAGAGTACAGATGAAGAAGCTGAAACCCGAGTGTTAAGCCTTGCCACTGATTCGGGCACCGGGCCCAGAGCAGGGAGGAGGTGGGCCTGGTCCTCTGAAATCTATGGCCCGACGCGACAGAGGAGGGGCTCACCAGGCCTGAGTCAGGGCGACAGGGCGAGGGAAGGAGCGCAAGAAGGAACGAGAGCTCACTTCCTTCCAGAACCAAAAAAGGAATGAGACCCTGCTATGGACCGAACTGCACCCCTGCCCCAAATTCCTAGGCTGGAGCCCTAACCCCCAGTTGAGTGTATTTGGAGATGGGGCCTTCGGAGATACTAAGGTTAAATAAGGTCATGGAATGGGTCCCTGATCTGGTAGGGCCGGTGGCCTTGGAAGAGGAGAACAATCTCTCCCTCCAACCTGCCCTCCCCTGCCCGTCTTCCTTCTCCTCCCGTCCCCCTCGGCCATCTGAGGGCACAGAGAGGAGGCAGCTGTCTGCGAGCCAGGAGGAGCCCTCACCGGCAACCAGATCAGCCAGCCCCTTCCTTGCTCCTGGACCTCCCGCCTCCAGAGCTGGGAGCCACAGATGTCTGTTGTCCAAGTCTCTCGTGTGGCATTTGTTACGATGCCAGAGCAGACAGAGACAGACCCTTACTCCCCTCTGGAACTCACAGCCACAGATCTCTATTTACGAGTCACCAAAACTGAGCAACTTTAATCTGCACGGAATCACCTCTGAATCCTGTAAAATGCAGAATCCGATTCAGTAGGTCTGGGGTGGGGCCCGAGAGTCTGCATTTCTAACAGCTCCCAGGTGAGGTTCCTCCTGATGCTGCTGCTGGTCCAAAGACCACACTTTGAGTAGCAGGGGTCGGCATCCACCAGGATTATTATAGAGAGAGCGTCTCCTTTCAGTGAACTCCAAGCATAGCTAATTGATTTGCATGTCTTGTCTCATCGAAGCCTCCCCAGGAGTCACAGCCGAATACCGCATTGCCCTGGGTCTTTGGGATATACTCACTAGCTCATCATATGTTCCAGACTTCGGCCGTGAGGAGCACCTTCATGAGATGTGAGCCCTCGCGGCGGGTAATGACTTTTCGGTTCAAACATGCAAATGTTGTTCTGCTTTGGGCTGGGTTTTCTGAACAACCCCTCCATGCACTGCACACTCCATCAGCAAGCCCCACAAATGAGGCACAGTGCTGGACCTCAGATGCAAGCCAGCACCCAGCTCCCCGGTCTGGTCCTGCTCCCGCTACACCTACTCGTGGAGACAAGTTGGAGACACTTGGCAATTAAAATAGCCGCCTACACTTGCTGGGAGCATTTCACCTGCAAGAGTCTGTTTAAACCTTACAACATCCCAGTGAGTAGGCATTATTTCCATCCTCACAAGGGCACTGAGGCCCAGAGAGGCCAAGTCACTTGGCCAAGGCCACACAGCTAATATCCAGGAGAACAGGGTTCGAAGCCACACTGTCTGGTGCCAGTGTTTCTCAACCACTCTGCCACCCCAAACTGACCGCGCCATGCTGCACTGCTCTCTGAAATGCTCTTCCCCCTCGGTGGCTGCCTGGTCTCTTCCTAGTTATCTTCAAAGCCTGGCACAGCTGCGCCCTCCACTGGGAACCTTCCCAGACTCCTAACCAATGTCCTGGGCAGGGACATCCTGGCGTAAGAGCCTCAGCCACACGAACCGGTGAGGATCTGTGCTGTGTTTGGGCTTTCCACTGGGCTGGGGGTGCCCCAGGCCACTTTTCACTATCCATGTGACCAAAACAGAGGCGGCTCAGTGGCAATGTCCTTGAAGGCAAATGCCCACGCCTATATCCCTGTGCCAAGATCTCCTCGACGGTCCTGGCCGTAAGCCCCTCCTCCCCCTCCCTCTCGTGCCTCCCCTTCCCTCCCCGCTCCGTCCTGCGATGCCCTGCCCGGCAAGGCTGACCATCACTCTGGTCCTTGTCACTGCAAATTCTTGGTCTCCATCCTCAGGGGCCTGCCCTGCACCAGCAGCTTCCCCACCTACCTGGGCCACGGGGATCCCAAGTCCTCCCTTCCCCCCTTCCACCCCACGTGAACAAAGTGGTCTGCCTTTACCTTCCCTCAGGATTCAAGGTGGCCCTGTGCGTGCGCACAAAGCTGCAGCTTCACCACAGTCACCTCCTTCCCCCCCCCTCCCCCACCCCCTCTGCTCAGAGGCCTGAGCCTGCGCCTCACCCGCTGGTCTGCACCCTGGGCCGACTCATTCCTTCCATCTCAGTCAATGGATTGAGGCCTTTTCCCCCTCTCCTTGCTCTGTCCCCAACCTCCCCCTCGCCCCTCGCTGTGCCAACCTGATCAGGAATCTCTCTAATGAAACCCCCCTCCCTCTACACAGGGTGTGTGTGTGTGCACACCTGTGCACCCCGGCTGAGCAGGAGTGCTGAGGAGCCAATGGCCAGATGCCACCAGCACAGAGCAGGCAGCATGGGGACGGAGGCGACAGCCAGGCCAGGGTCACAGGGGCTGCCTGCGTGTCCTCTCAACCAAACCAAGTTCTGAGTAAAGAGCTCTCCCAGACTGACAGGCCCCCTTCCCCGCCTCCTTCCACCCCGGCACCGCTGGCGTCTGGCTGTGCCCCCCACGTGCCTTCCTCAAATCTGCAGGGGCCTGTGCTCGCTTTGGATACAACCCTCCCTGCCCCTTCCTGACGGCCTGCTCCCTCTGCCTTCTGTGATGTCACCTCCCCTGCTCACCCGGGCCCTTCCTCACTGGTGGGACTCCCTACGAGCTGTGTGACCTGCAGGCACGTGACTCAGACTTCTTGAGCCCCAGCGTTCTCATCAGGGGAATGGACATCATCGTCCCCACCCCACGGGGAGGGGGGGCCGCCATCAAGGGTCCCCGCCGGCGAGCTCCCAACAAGCGTCCCCGTTCTCACCCCCATTATCACCCTGCAGTCCGCGAAGCCTGGCTCCCCGTGTGCTCGGCAGCACGTGACACTCACACAAACCTTGGAATACATTTAGGGTTTCAGAGTCAACGACGAATACAGCTGCCAGGTCCAGTCCTCAAATTAGCCGTCATCCCAAAATACAGCCAAAAGAAAAGGCAAACCGTTCAGCCACGCCTCCTGGTTTTAAAAAGAACCTGACTTTCAAACAGAATACACCTGCTGGAGGGAGAGGTCCCAGGGCAGGGCTGGCTCTGGTTTGCCTGAGGACTCAGCAGGGGTGAGCCATAGGGTTGACATGCGCTTCGGCCCAGCGCCCCCCTCTGCAGACAATGCACACTCTGCGCTGTGAGGACATCCGAGAGAAGACCTGCCTTGGTCCCGGGGAGACTCGCTTGGCTGTCAGCTGTCCGTCAGACATGCCTGGAACACCCAGGGGCCCGCCCGAGGGCTCAGAGGCTGGGAAGAGGGCAAGAGGCGCCTGGTGTGGGCCTGCCCCTCACCTGCTGGGCCTGCTGCAGCAGCTCCATGCGCTCCCGCAGGACCTGGCTGTCGGACTCCCGGCTCTGTCTCAGGATCTGCCGGCGCAGCTTCTCCACGGCGGCCCGCAGGTCCTCCCGTTGGCCCTCGCTCAGCGCCTCGCTGGCCCTCCGCCCGGGCTCCTGCTGCAGCGCGTTGTACAGCGTGGCCTCCAGCTCCTGGATTTTCTGAGGAGCCCAAATCCCAGACAGTGGGAGATCACAAAGGGGCGGACAGTAACGGCCAGGGCAGTGCGGCTCAGGGAGGCAGAGCTGGAGGTCTCAGGCAGGGAGGGGAGGCGTGCGGGGGGCCTCGCGGAGGGGCCAGCAGGCGCAGGCAGGGGTGCGCGGCGGGGGGAGTGAGGGAGCCCCTTTCAGCCCCGTGCACACCTTGTAGAGAACATGTCTTACTCGACTCTGTCAAGAATCGCCCTCCTCTTGTGTAGTAGAGGAAAGGGCCATAAGAGGGAATCATCACAACCGCCCCTTAAAACGTGTGCTTCAGAGAGAGGCTTGTTTTCATTCTGTTCTTGGCGCCCCATGTGTTCCCCCCGCCTTGGGAGCAAACCTCCCCTTTTATCCTGGGTGGCAGTGGGGGAACAAAAAGTCTCCAACTGCACACACGTGGTTTTCAGCCAGCTAGCTCGGAATGCGATTTTCACCTAAAGCAAACAGTGACAGTGTTCTAACTGGGCCCTCCCTGCTAAAAACGCGAGACTCCAGGTGTTAGCAAAGCGGATGAGAGATTAGTGGCCAGTCGAAGGCTCCTTGTGAAAGGCAAGGCTTTTAATCATTAGAGGAAGTTCTTTTCCACTTCACCCCAAGACACTTAAATATAGTTACCTCATAGGGATATCTAGGGACAAAAGAGAGAATTATCTCCTTTGCTGCTTCCCTAAACCCCCACCCACATCATCCTTGAAAGCAAACCCCATCCTGGGCCAGGCTGACCATCGCTCTGGTCATTGTCACTGCAAATTCTTGGTCCCCTCCCTCCGAGGCCTGTCCTACCCCTGCAACTTTCCCCACCACAAGGCTTCTAGGCAAGGGAGCTAAGGAACTAAGGAACTGCTCCTCGTCTTCCTAAGACGGACTAGACCAATCTTCAGTTTGGATGGAAACTGCCAAGAAGAGGCGAGAGGTGGTTAGAGGCAGGGGGGCGGGGGGAGGTTTTCCACGGACAAGCGTCTGCAGCCGTCTGGCCCCCAGCTCGCCCAGCTGCTCTCGTCAGAGCTTGCCTGTGACTGCTGGCTCACCCCCTCCCCATTCAGAGCTGAGCTTCTAGGAGACCGCAGGTCACCAGCTTCCAGCCAGGACCCCACCACCCAATTCCAGAAGCTCCACTGCAGACCTGCCCCATCTCATTCAGCATGATGACAAAGGAATGCAGGTCCGTATGTGGTACCTGCCGTGCCGCCCTCACCCGCCCAGGCATGAGGTACTGCCACCCTCTTGGAGCTTGTTACTTCCCTCACTGTTCAAATCCATCCAGCTTGGCATCAGAACACAACCCCGTCATGGGCCTGAAATCCCCCCTGAGGCTTTGGAACGGTTTTGGGAAGGAACATAGTTTCTACAGGGTGGCAGGATCAGCACGCCCAGGGGCCTCCTCTGCAGAACCAGGACTCAGAGGGACCCCCGGGGCCTTCCTGCGAGCGGTACTTAGACAGCAAAGGGTGGACACCGAGCTTTTCCAAAATGTGTTGGAAATCACCAGTCCTGCCAGAGGCCCCTTGAAAAGTCAGTCCGTGATCCAGTGAGCTTGGCAAAGTGCTTGCTTATGTTCCTCTCAGAGCCCTGGCCCACCTTTCAACCTTCAACACATTAAGGACCCAAGAAGCCCTTCAGAGTTTTCCAAACTTGTTCCATTGGCTTCAGTGCCTACGAATCTCCTGAAATCACATTCCTCAGAGCTTTCTAGGAAATGCTAGGGAGGCAGTGCCACGCGACAGATGGTGTGTGGCGTGGGAAAGGCGTTCTCGAAAGGACCAAGGTGGAGAAGGAGTTGAGGCAAAACCAGCAAGGGAATGGTTGAGTGTGAGCATCCCTCCCCTAGAAGGAGGAGGTATTTCTCTTTTAAGTTGCCGTCCGCACCGTGATAATACCGTGTGCCCAGAAGTAAGCGCTAGAAGAGAAGATGGCCCGTCCCAGTGAGGCTCAATCCCCAGGACCTACGACCTCTCCAGCTCCCCGTCCTCCTCATTCAGGCCTCAGAGCCTGGACACCAAAAGCCGGGGGTCTTGGGGAGGTGGGCCAGCCCTCATGCCCAGGCTCCTGGCTCTCCGTCTTCCTGGACAAGCTCATGGAAACAAGGTCTTGAAAGTCGTTTTTCAGTTGTGGACTCTGCATTTCTCGGGTACGCACCACTTCATAAAATGATCCTAACTACAAATGACTGGGGCAAAGCCTTGCTGGAGACTTTGGGTACCGCACCGCTTCTTCCTGCAAGAAGGGGCACTCAACTCTCCCTTCTCTGTGCCATGGGGACCCCTGGTGGGACCCGGATTTCTCACTCACTGCTGGGAGAGTCCTCAAAACCATATGACACGTGAACCTGGACAGATCCCATTTTAAGCTAATCACCAGGAAGCCCAGGGCAAATTTTGTGACCCAAACGCAATACGGCACAAGTAATTTTTGTTTTGATGATCAGTGGCCTCTACTCTACTTGCTGAGCCTCTGTGTCCCTCGGTGGCTGCCCCTCATTCCTGTGCACAGGAAAACTTGCTCTGGGGTTTTACACATAAACAAGTATTCAAGTGTAACAAACACATAAGAAAGACGGTTTCTTCACACTCGTCTCAAACGATTCCTAGAATTGAATAAGCACGCCTGAAGAAACCATCCCGCTAAGTAAGTACTTTGGAAAGTCATGACTGATTTGGAAAAAAGGGACAATTTCTCTGTATAGTCATTCCGGTCAGAACACAGACAGGGCGTTTTGATGGCACCCACGGGGCCCTGGTGAGGCCCCTAAATGTGGTGTCAGCCCCGAAGGAAAACACAGCCTCTAAGGGAGAGTCTAACAGGCCAAAGCGACCAACCCACTCCCAGTCCTACCAGGTACGCCTGGTCGAGGGCTTCCTTCCTGTAGTCTAGCTCCTCCTCCAGGTAGCCCTTCTGCCTGCTGAACAGGTCCTGAAAAAGAGGAGGGCCCCCACGATCGAGATCAGCCTAAGAACCCATCCCTGTCAGGCTCTGCAGAGCCCCCCACTCACCTCTGCTAGAGAGCGACGGTCCCACCAAGCCGGGGGCCCGCCAGGGGCTCAGGTGAGAAGGGAGGTGATGCTCTGCCCTGCTCACCGCCCCCGGCATGAATCTCCTACAGGAACCTTGCAGGCCCAGGAGCCGTGATCCAGCCTGGCTTTTCTTCCCCGTGGGGGCCCAACTCCAGCAAAGCGACACCCCTCCAACCCGGTGCCCACGCAAGAATCCTTCTCAGTCCCTCTTGTCACGTCCTGGTTGCCCCTGAAGACCATCCCAACAGTTCTCAGATGTGGCTCTGCCTCCCCCCATGACAGCATCCCCCACCTTCCGACCAGTCTCACTGCTGTGCACCTCCTCCCCATGCCCGGGTCACTCTTCCGGTCCCTGCAAGCATGGTCTATCCAGAATGCAAATCTCTACTACTGATTGGAGGGTTCCAAGGTGAGAGTTCCTCTCCTGTGGGCCCTTGACTTCACAGATGAGGAAACAGGGCCAGAGAAGCCCAGTGCCTTGGCCTAGATGCCACGGTGTCATGGTGGCCAAGGACCGACTAGACTTCAAGCCAGGGCCCTCTCACACCACGTGTGCTCCCAGGCTGTAAGCAATTCCTTCTACCTTCTGTTTCCACATCTCATTTCTATTTGCAAAACTTGAATTGGCCTTTGAAGGCTCAAGACCCATTTCTTCCGGGCAGCCCTCTCTGCATCCCCCAGGCTGGGCACAACGGACCCCCCACACGCCATAGCCCCCTGGTGAATAACCGCCACCACTGCAGCTCATCAGGGATCTGTACATGCCAGGCAAGGTGCACAATTGGCTGTGTGTCTCTTATCCCTATGGCCCAGCAAGGTGGAACGTGGAACCCCCCACTTAGCAATGAGGAAATGAAGGGCCAGTCTGTCTTTCCCAAACTCTCATGGCCGTTAAGGAGGCCAGCAAAGATGGGAGGCCCAGCTGTGTGTCTCCGGAGCCACTGGGCCAAGTGCCTCGGCATCACCCACATGCTGTTCCTAATGTCCTCAGGCAGCACCGTGGCTGTTGGCTCCTGAGCACACATCCCCATAGGCTTGTAAGCTAGCTCCTCAAGGCAGGGACTCCACATATTCCTTACTGGACTGCTAATCCTGGCATGGTGCCTGGGATAACAGAGGCTCCAAAAATAGGTATTAAGTGAACAACTGAGTGAGTGAAAGAGTGAACGAATGGATGACAACCACCTGGAACGGCCATTAGGGCAAATGCAAAATTTAGAAATGCATGCAAATAAACGCCTATGAAAATACATGCAAGGGGGCACCTGGGTGGCAGCGGACTCTTGATTTCAGCTCAGCTCATGATCTCAGGGTTGTGAGATTGAGCCCCGTGTCAGGCTCTACGCTGGGCGAGGAGAGTCTGCTTGAGTCTCTCCCTATGTGCACCACCCCCCCGCCCCGCTTGTGCACGCGCTCGCTCTCTCTCTCAAATAAATCAATAAAATCAATCTTAAAAAAAATACATGGGAGGCCTTCCTGAGAAGGAAGCTGTCAGCACCCTTTCCACCCTCCTGCCTCCCAGAGGACTGAGTCTTTTACCTTTTCCCTCTCCAGGTCCAGCATCTTCTGGGTCAGGGCTGCCTCAGTTCCCTCTATTTGCTTCAGCCACTGGAAAACAGCAGGGACAGAGGGCCAGCAAATGAGAACCCATGCTGGCTGGGGGCCTTCCACCAAAGCCATGTGCAGGGGGCCTCCTCCCCGACGAGGCTCCTGGCCTCCTCGGCCCATCCCAGGGTGGCCCTTGAAACAGAATTTCATTGTCTGTACAGATGTTCAGCTTTGACAGATGTTTGCTCAGGGATCAACTGGGTCATGGATATCGATGCGTGCATGCGTGCATGCGTGTGCGTGCATGCGTGCGCGTGTGCGTACCTATGCATGGGCTTGGGTATGTATGTCCAATCGAGCCTGTGTGTCCAGGAGAGGCTTGGTGTGCACGCTCTGGGGGCCTGACTCCATGCAGAGTGGGCCCCTGTGTGCGTCTGGGGGCCGTGCGGCTGGGTGGCTGAATGTCATTGAGGTCTATTGCTAAGTGCCTCGAGGGTGGCTTCATGCTGGGGAATTCATCCAGCCTTCATACCCACCCCATGGCAGAGGCAGCATCACGCATATTATAGGAGAAGACATGGATGCCTAGTTAAGTCACTTGTCCAAGGTCACACAGATGGGCAATGAGGACTTCTAACCCAGCCTGCAAAACCACACCCCTGCAACACACCCAAGTGGCCAGGTGCACTGTGGAGTGAGGGGTGTGCCGAGTCCCAGGGCACGAGGGTGCTGAGGTGGGCGGGCAAGCACCCGCCAAGGGCAGGTCACAGGGACAGTCTACCTCTTCTTGGGTCTGGGCTGGTGGTGAGCAGGAGGTGGGCAGCTATTTCTCGGGATGGAGGTATGTAGGTGTGTCTTTATGAGGAGACCACCTAAGAGATGGGCTGGTGGGGAGACCTGCGGGGGCTTTGATGGGAATGTCTGAGGGCAAGGGGGTGTCCACGTTTGACACCGTGTATGAATGTGTGCACTCAACACAATAGACAGCCTCCTTGCCTCCAGCCTGGGGACCTTTCCTGGCCTCCCAGCCTCCCTCAGCTGCCACGCGAGACTCAGCTGCCTCCTGGCTTTCCTTCTCCTCTCCTTTTAGGGGCTCCCCCTCCCCTTAGAGCCCTGCCCTTTGCTTCTCCCCCTCGCTCCTTGCCCCCCTGGGGATTCTACCTGCCCCTGTGCTCCCTCTGCTCTCTGCAGTGTCCCCCTGCAGCCCAGACCGCCCCACCACATCTCCCTCTGATGCCTCCCTAGCATCCCTGGTCCCTCTGCTGGGGAAGAGCCCTGTTTCACCCAAACCAGGAAGGGGAGCAGCCTTGATTTCTCCTTCCCCTCCCCTACCCATATGCTGGTTCCACCTCCTACTGTCTCAAACACCCTCCTGCAACACATCACTGCCACCACCCCTCCAGGCTCCTGTCTGGACCCAAAGCCTTTCGTGCTTTCGAGTCCGCATGTCCTCTCAAAAACCCACTTCTGCTTAAAGCCCTCGGGGATATCCCATCACTCCTGACAATGGCTGGCCCCCAAGCCAAGCCCGCTCTCCCTGACTGGAATTCACCACCTCTCCCACCCCTGGCCTCAGCCCCAGGCCTTCACTAACACCTACTCAGCCTTCAGGTCAAGTTAGCTGTCACCTCCTCCAGGAAGCCTGCCCTGCTTCCTACCTCCATGGGGTCAGGTGCCCTCCAGGATCCCTATGTCATCCTATGAGTGGTTCTCACAGCACTCACCTGATGGATTGCTGTTGCCTGTTTCCCTCCCACAGAAGCCTGAAGGTGGGGACCATATCAGACGTGTTCTGTTACACTTCCTTACCCAGCACAGGCCCAGGATGAAGCATGAGCCCAACAAACATTTGCTGAACGAGAGCAGACATGAGAGTGTGGCGGTCTGGCGGCGGCGGGGGGGGGGGGGGTGCTGGCTCCACGGAAGGAACAAGACTAGATAAAGCTGTGATCACACAGGCTTCCCCCAACATCAAAGTGAGCTTGGCCCCCAGAGTGGACCCCCAGAGCCAGCAGCAGAAGCAGGCGCCCAAAAGAGAGCATCTCATTAGACGTTACTGAGAGGATGTACAATGTCTTAGAAATAGATCAGCATATTTTGGGTAGGAAAGGAAAGACACTTCATTTTTAATATCCTAATGCAGGCAGTCCTAAAATGAATAAAATTTAAATAGGAAAAAAATCAAAATCCAGTTTTGAATCATTACAACAAGCTGCTCTTAGAATAGGTTTTATAGAATATGCTGTCCAGTTTCTAAAAAAAAAAAGATTTGACATGCATATTAGGCATAGAAAGAAAAACTTGGCAAGTGCTTCTCAGCAACTGAAAGAGGCAAATGAGGACAGAAAATGCTGGCCATGAGCATCCTAGGTACGAAAGGTCATGAATTTCGTATGGAAGAGAGTCCACCAGATAGCCACTGGGCCACACTCCAAGAGTGAGCACCTAAATGCAAGTGGCTCTGCACCACCCTCCAGGAAAGAGGGGTATGGGGACACCTGCCCTCTTCCAAACCCTCAGGGGAGAAGTGAGTCAACCTACAGGGGTGCAGAGAAGAGGACATCCTGTAGGAAGCCAGGTGTCTGCCCACAGGTGCAGGGTCCTGAGCCCCAGAGCTGGAGGGTGGGGGCCCTCTCTCCTCTAAAACCCAACTCTCCCTTCAAGAGGGTCCCAAGACCTTGACCCCAGGCCAACTACTGGAAAGCTTGACTGTGGCCACAGGCCTAAGCTGAATTCACTAATCTATTGTTACCAGTGAGAACATGAAAATTTTTTAAAAACTGCCATCTGTCTGGTTGTTTTGACTATTTCTCAATTGGTTTTAAACTTGAAAGAGCTTCATAAAGAAGAGGTGTGAATTGGGGCTCCTAGGTGGCTCAGTGGGTTAGGCGTTGGAATCTAAATTTTGGCTCAGGTCATGATCTTGGGTTGTGGGATGGAGTCCTGAGTTGGGCTCTGCACTGGGGATGGAGCCTGCTTGGGATTCTCTCTCTTCCTCCCCCTCTGTCCCTCCCCTCACCTCTCTCTCCTTCTCTAAAAATAAATAAATAAAATTTAAAAAAAAAGGAGGTGTGACTCTGATCACCTGTAAACCCTCAGATGTCCTACGTTCAAGCTTCTCTTCTGGGCACGTGCTGTGTACAGAGGACGTGGGGTGGAGAAAGACAGGGCCCCTGACCTTGGACTCTGCTAACCTTCAAGAAGGAACCGGGCTTCCCCAGGCAAGTAGGAGCAAACCCCCAGAGCAAGATGCCCTGGCAAGGTCATCCAGGAGCACCATGTGATGTTCTTAGTTAGAGCTGCACTTCACTTATATGCCACACAAGCGGCATTGTGCCTCCAAAGAGAAAACTGAATTTGCCCTCAGTTTGGTTAGATGCTGACACTGAGTGGCAATTTTTAAAACCACATGCATTTGGGGGGGGGGTCTCTGATCCTGCTGCCAGCTCGTGAGCTCCAGGGTGACCAACTCATGTGTGCTTGCTCAGGGCTGTCCCCACTCCACCACTGACATCTCCATGTCCCAGGAACCCCTCAGTCCCAGGCAAACTGGGCAGTCTGTGCCCCTGGGGGTCCTGTCAGGGCTCTCAGCTGGTCCTGCAGACCCACCTTTGCTCTTGGGGCCACTCCCAGCACCAACACTCCCGCTAGGAGGACAGATAGCAACTCCCAAACCTATGGGATCTTTAGTCACAGACCTGTGGCAGAGCTGAGGTCTCCTAGACCCAATCTGAGAAAATGGGAAAATACTGGTCTGAGTCCAATCTCCAAGGAATGTCCCAGATCTGGAGGTGGGTCCCTCTCACCTCCACCCAGTTGGCTGGTGAAATGTGGCGGGGGGGGGGGGGTGGCGGCCTGTGACAGGGTCAAAGCAGACAGTTGCTGTAGGCCATGCAGGGTTATGACGGGGGCACATTGCTAATCTCGCACAGTTGCTGAGAGGAACAGGGGCCCTATAGATCTGAGGTCGGAAGCCCAAGGCTGCAGGTCTGGACACCCACGATTTGCCGGGCTGTGGAGAGGAATGTATCAGGGAGAAGGGAGCAGCTTGAAAGGGGCTACTCTCAATGAGGCTGTGAACTCCCTACAGGGTGTGGCCCTCCAAGAGACTCTGGGGATTGGAGAGAGGGAGGCCCCCAGGCCTGCTGCCCAGCCCCCTCCCAAACCAGCCACCCCAGTCACAGAGGGTTGCTGCTCTTGGTTCACCACCCACCATCACTGATCAAACCCCTTTGCCCTAGGTGCTCAGTAGCAATGTTTGGTTCTGCTTAAAAATGCCATGCCCTGGAGTCCCGACACCAACCCTGCCAGGTTTGCGGGTTCTCCGTTCGATGGCTCACAGTGACCCAGAGACTGATCTGCAGAAGCCCGAGGTGGGGGTCCACCCAGAAGGGGCCTCCCAGGGGATGAGGAAGGAACTGCTGGGCCTGACCTCACCAATCGTCCAGGGAGCGCTCGGCACTAAACTGAGTTTCGAGTGTTTACTAGGCACTTTTATGTAATACTCCCCAGAGCTCTGCACAGGACGTTTGGATATACTGGTGTGGAGGATGTTTACTGAACGAGCACCTTGTGCCTAACCCTGTGCTAATGGATCCGGCAGCCAGCCAGGTGTGAGTCAGCATCACCCCCTGTCCACCTGGGGACATAGGCTCAGCCAGGAGAAGGGATTTGGGAAGTGACTTACCTCCTGTGTGGCCTCAGGCAAGGCTTTGCGGAAGTCTGTTACCAACACTTTGTGCCCTTCATGTGACTAGGGACGCAGGACAAGAGCCCAGGGCAGAAAAGTATTTCTATTTTCAATGCCCCTCCAAAAACTCTGGGAAGAATCTTGATTAAGATCACTAAGACTTCCTTGTTATTAAAATAGCATTTTAAAGTTTAACTCCTGTGCTTTGAAAGGAAAAGCTCTCTGGATGGTACTGCATAAAAGTTATGTGCACCTAAAATATCCTAAACAAAAGTAAAAGGTAAACGAACCAGGAACGTATTTTTAACAAATACAGCAAAGAGTTATTATCTTAATATGTAAAGCACAAGAAGGAGTCAGTAAGAAACACCATATTTAGGACAAACACTACTGAATGAACAGATGAATAGATGAATGAATGAACGAATGAATGAACGAACCAATAACAAACAAACCCAATGAAAACTGTCAACAGAAATGTTATTACAATTCACAAAGAAGGAAGAAAATAGATAATACATAATAACAACCCAGTATCACTAGCATTCAAATCAATGCAAACAGATATACGAACATCTATGTGATTTTAACCTCTGGAACTGGCAGGGTTCTTTAGCGGAGACACACTAGGCCGCTGAACATGGAACCAGCAATGTGGTCACACTCAGGTCGAGGGGGAATTGGTACCCCTTTTCTGGAAACCACTTTGACAATATTAAATCTCTGAAAAACCTCCCTACCAGTTGGCCCAGTGATTCCACCCCTAGAATCTATCCTGTGGAAGTGTTTTAAAAGGTAGGTAGGAATCTCCAGGTAGCGATGTTCACCGCTGCATAACGATAAAGAAGAAGAAAACAAAACAAAACAAATGGAAAGGCAAAATCTAGCAAAATCAGCTTCTGATTTAGCCACTGGGTAGAACAAGGCGAAGGGGAAGCGGAGGAGGCAGGGTTAAAAACGGGAAGTCAAGTACGATTTTGACTAAGTTTAAAAAATAGGCATGGGAAAAACCTGGTAGGAAATCCACCCCAGTGCTGCAGATGCTTTCCTCGACGGGGTTTTCCTCTGCTTCTGCGCTAAGCTCTCTAGGGGAAGCGGGGGCGGCTTTGGGCCCGGGAAGGAACAGCATGCGCGTGCACATGCAGACGCAGACGAGGAGCGCATGCCCCAGAGCCAAGCGAGACACCAGTGCGCAGGTTCCTGTGTGGCGCTGGGAAGCTCAGACATGTTGCACGGACAGAAGTGCCGCGGGGCTCTACCTTTTCACACAGGGCAAGCACAGTTCCAGCTTGGATTATTGCAACCTGTTCTTCGTTTCTCAAATTCTAAAACACAAAAATGCGGGAAGGGCGTTTTACACTGGACCCCACATCCCCGTGCAGACAGCCAGCGCTGACCGGCTTTGACGCCCCTCCGAGAGGGGACCCCGGGGCTCGGCCCCCACTGTCTAAAGAGGCCATCGTTCAAAGGCAGCTGCAGCCCTGTCCTCTCGGGGGCCAGGACTTTTGGAGATAGGGCCTGTTCGAGCCAATCTTTTAAGGGGGAAAAATACCACGTTCTGCTTTCGGAAATCTGGAGGGATCCCGCGCTCCCTCTGGGTGATCCTTTGTGCGCGCCCTCATCCCTTGCAGGAGCGAGGGAGGAGCTAAATCCAGAAGCTAAGTCCGGAAGCCTCCCCTTCCCCCCAGTGACACCGCGACCCCCCTGTGACAGCGTGACCCGCCCCTGACAGCGCGATCCACCCGTGACAGCGCGGCCCGCCCACCCCCGCGGGGGCACGGCCAGACAGAAGCCTTACACTGCACGTGTCAGATCTCTTCGGTTAGGAAGAAACCAAACCCAAAGGAAAGGAAAGGCACACAGAGCACACCCAGGTGGAGACAAGAGCGCGCGAGCAGAAGCCGACCGGCATAGTTACCCCGTTATCGCCAAGGATATCTAGCTTCTTCATAAGTTCAGAAACATTCACATCCTGGAAAAGATTTCCAACGTTCATTTTGCGGGAGGCGCCCAGCCCGTGCAGACCGGTCTCTAGCGCCGCGGCCTCGGCCTCGCCCGTCCCGCTCCCGGCAGCTCCTTCGCGGTCGAGGCAGAGAAGGCAGTACCTGCCACTCGCCCGGCCCGCGGAGCTTTCCAGAAAGGCTCGAGGAGTCGCGAAGGTCAGGAGGACCGCAACCCGCAGCCTCGTCTCCCGCCCACTCACTCACTGCGCGAGGCCGCGGGGCGCAGCGCTGCTCTGACGTCACACCCACGCCACGTCACGTCACGTCACGTCGCGTCTCGGGGTGGGTGCTGCAGTTCAGACCTCACGCACGGGGGAGTGCGGCTCGGAGAGCTCGCAGCCCAGAGCTGGGAGGTGGCCAAGCTGGGGTGTGCCCTCAAAGCTGTGTCCCACGGCTCTGCTCTTTTAACATGGGTACAAATAGAGTGACATTGGGTGACCCTCTGAAAAATGAACTCTGGCTTTCAAAATATGGTGGGGGGCCGGGCCATCTCGTTTAACTGCATTCCATGTCTGGCACAAAGGCACAATCCCCCTTTATGGCTGAGCCTGGCCTTCGAGCGGGCCCCTGGCGGTCGGTTTAGCGGAGGCACCCCCCCAAGCACGCTACCTTAACTCCTTCCTGGTGACAGAACAGCTGGAGAGCGCTGCTGTTGTTCTCGGGGAAGGTGGTGATTTGGAGGTTAAAGGCTGGCGACCTCCGCTCTCTCTCCTGGAGAAAAGATTTGGTTTAAAAACAGAACTTTATTGGATTATTTACCACTTGCCATTTTCCCACGTTACGCAGCAAAAACCAAGGCATTCCAGTTGGCAAAGGTGTTACTAAAAGGCGCACAGACTACCATCTCCTGGTCGGCGAAGGCGCGCGCCGTGGTCCCACCTCTGCAGCGCACTGGATCTCCTGCGGAAATGTGTCTACTTCTTACCTACTCGGCTAGGAAGAAACGGTTAACAAGGTGTCATGTGTTCACCTGCTGCGAGATGGAAACCCAGGAAGCCACAGATCATCATCATTCAGTACTTGGTAAGAACGAGTGCGTGAAATCTCAACAGACAACATAGCCACCAGCCATGGCGTGTCACCTGCCCCGTGTGGCACATCACTCTCTCATTGAATCCTCACAACCCCACGAGGCGGGCATTATTGCTTTCACTTCATAGACAGGGCGGCAGGACCAGGACACAAACCCCCCATTCACTTTTTTTTTTTTTTCAAAATAATCTGCTGATTTCGTTCACAGTCTTTTTTTTGAATTGCACCAACATACCAGTGATCATTCTATCCCTGCCTTAGATTGATAGTCTAATCTCCATTACTAAGGAAGGAAAAGTAAGCATTTTCCCAGAAGAGGTGCTTATTAATCAGACGTAAAGTGACATGTTTTTAAAAAGGACAGGAGAAGCCCAATTAATTACAAGGATATATTATATAGATCTGCCTTTAAAACTTGAGCAACGGACAGGCTAGCTTTATGGGAAGGCCAGCAGAGAAGACCTTTCTAAATTATACCTTTAAATCAAACTGCTTTTATTTTCTCAAAATTACAGTAAGATAAGCATGCTTTGGACCATTCCTGCAGAATCTAGTGACAGCACCCATTGGTCTCTTTTGTCACTCAACTAAGAAATGTAACCAAATGAGCACTAGCTTGGATGGTGGGACCTACACAGATGCTCTTGGATAAGGCGAATGGAGGGGGGTGTTATTCATTCAGTTGACTTCCCCAAAGCCCAACCTGGCTAACCTGGTCTGAGGCAGTTCAGGGGGAAAAGTTTATTTCTCTTATTAGCCAAGAAGACCAAAATTCACAGTGGTTCCATTCTATGGATGTCTTCCTACCTACAACACTTAAATGGAGTCTCCATAGAAAAGGGGACAACAGAAAGCTATTTTAATATGAACAAAAGTCAGAAAATTGGTTTCTAATGGCTCTGAAGGATGGTGGAGACACGCAAAGAAAATTCTAGCACACTGAGAAATGCTCATGGAAATCTCCTGAGAAAGACGCGTGACAAAGCCCTGGGAAAGGCTTCCTCACTGGCCGAGGTGTGAACAGGGACCCCGCATGGCTTCCGGCTCCTGCCATGTGAATGGAAGACCCTGTTCACGCTCAGGCAAGAGTTGAGTTGCACGGTAACACTTGGTTTGGAGACATTCAGGCCACAGTCCATGCCAACACGACAAAGGACAAGATGGTAAGTTCTGGTGCAAACAACTTTAACGGAAGCCAGGAGGAGGAAACAGAACGGGACACCAGTGTCACAAGGGTGCTGGCTTTCCCTGGGGGATCCGTGCATGCAGAGGCTTCAGCGGAGGGAGAGCGGGGCCGCTCAGGTGCTCAGACAAACAGGTGCTCAGACAAACGAGTCACAAACCTAGGTGATGTTTAAAATGTGGATGGTTTTTAAATGGCAACAAACAAAAAAAGGAGATGAAGTTGCATTGCAATACAATGCTAGGCACCCGAGGGCCAGGCTTCAGTGGGAAGCAGTAAACCATCACTATTCTTATGCTGGATCCAACTCTGTACTGGGGACATTACTGAAGGTTTGGAATGTGATGGCTACCCGTGAAAAGCATTCAGGCTCCCTCTGTGCTAATAGCAGTTTTGAGTTGCAGGTTGAGTTACAAACAGTAAGTTTTCGGTCCAGTGCAACCCTGTGTGACACCCAAGCCTGCATTCACTGGACGGGGATTTGGAACAACCATACGGGTTCTCTCAAACGCCTATACAAATACCTCCCTCCTCCCCTGCTTACTTACTTACCTGTGTTTACCTCGGCAAATAGAAAATGGGCCAAACTAGCAGTAAACACACTACAGAGTCAGTTGTGGGCCAGGTCGGGCCCTGCTCTTTCAAAAGGAGAGATTCCCTGCATGCAAGGTCACTTAAAAAGGTGTGTTATTAATTGCAACAGTGCTTCTGTCCGGGTTTGCAGAATGCATACCAGGTGACTATGCATGCAGGAAAGAAGTAGTTATGGAAATGAAACACAAATAAAAAAGGCAAAATATTGCAAAAACAAATTATTTTATTAAGTGCAAAACAAGCCGTAGGCAATAAATAGATTAGCTCTGGTACATGTCCAAAGACTTCGGTGAGCATTCTCTCCAGAACATATTAAGGCAGTGAAATTATTCTGAACATACAGATTTAAAAAAAAAAAAAGAAAAGAAAAAGAAAAAGAAAAGAAAACAACTCTACCACGTCCCTTTACACATGCTGGAGGACATCTGGGAGCTTTTACATGAATTTCAGTTTGGGCTCAAAGAGAAGGTCTGCTCCATTTGAGAGCGCACAACAGATAGAGTCTCTTACTTCGAGCTCCAGCACTCGGAACTCTAGCAGCTCGTTCTGGTCCTTCGCATCTTGCATTTCGTTCTTCAGCTGGCTCTCTTCCATTTCCAGTCTGTAAATCTAGAGCAGACGCACCTGCGGGTTAGCGGGGGGGAGGACCGCCATCTCCACGGAGACGTGGCCTGCTCAGTGCAGATCGGGGCGGGGGGTGCCTGCTCCATCCCTCTGGCTCCAGGCCTGGCCCGGAAGATGGGCTCCTCCATAGACTTGCTGAATAAATGAATGATGGGGAAACTGAGGCATGGAGCCACTAAGTCCCTTCCTTAGGTCAAATGTGAGGGAGGCAGGAGTGCATCATGGGCGCTTCTGATCCCAAAGTCTGTGTGTACTCTTTTTGCGTGCTGTCTCCCCCCACCTCGCCCCCAGCCGCCAGGGTGATACCCCCTGCCCCCAGCCAGAGTGGGACAAACCACAACAGAAAAGCATACGTTGCTGTCACCCAACCAGAGGGCTCAGGAGAAGGCTCAGCACAAGCAGCTCTCCTGTAGGCACAAGTCTATCTGCTAAGGTGGGCTGCTTGGTCCGACACCCACCGGGAGACCCTGGAAAAGCACCCTAATGGCTCTGTGGCTCAGTTTCTGTCCAAGGAGCATAGAGCTGCCCATCCTCCTCTGGCGGTAGCCAGGACTGACTGAGAGAAGGCACGCCTCCTTATCGAGGGCTTCCGTGAGTCACAGCCACAGGCAAAGGCCTCTCCCTCCTCCTGCCTAGAGAACCAGAGGGGGTTCTCCATTGACGGGGTGCTGCGCCCCAGGGGACATTTGGAAACTGTGTGTTTTCTCCCTGGCTCCTTAAATTTAGTGAGCAGGACCAAGGACACGGAATCTCTCCCCACGCACGGATGTGACCTGGAGGGCAGTGACAGGTCTTGTCCCAGTGCTCCAAATGCTACAGAGAAACACAGGAAAGTGAGCAGCCACACAGCTGGTCAGTGAAGAGCTGGGGCTGGATCAAGCCCCCTCCCAAGAGGGCAAGGCTGGGCTTATCCAGGGCAGGCATTCTAGGACGCTCAAAGCCTAAGGCCTAACCTAGGTCTGTCTGGTTCTGCTAGTATGGAAGGTCTGGACAGAAAGTACACTGGTGGTTGCCGGGGGCTGAGGGGTGGGAAATGAGGAGGGACTAGAAATGGGTACAAGGGACCTTTATGGGAGGCTGAAAATGTTCTAAAACTGCATTGTGGTGATGGCTGCACAACTCAGTAAATTTACTAAAATAAAACAACTCTGAATTGTGCACAAATAGGAAAAAAATAAAGCTAAAGTCTTGTCCCAAAGCATTAAATCTACTCCCCAAGCTGTCTCGAGAAAGGTCTAGAAAGTTCCATGACCACAGAAGACAGGCTCAGCTCTGCCGGTGCCGTGGCCTCCAGTCCAGCAACCGAACCATGATGGCCTGAAGGCCTGCTCAGCAACCAGCACCTTCGGTCCCCTCTGGTGGGAGGGGAAGGGCTCTGGAACCCCAAAACAATGGCAGAGGTGGGAGGGTGGAAGGGGTAATAGCGACCCTCACTGGGTCTGCAGGGTGGTCTGAGCCAGCTGTGCAGGCCTCGTCCCAGGGGACAGAACGGGGGCCAATGCCTGGGAAGCCCCAGGAATCAGGCTCTGACTCAAGGTAAGGGACAGGTCCCTCCTCTGAGAGCCGGGCAGGAGCCGAGGGCTGCCACGGGGGTGCCTCCATGGGCCTCTGAGGGCCCTGACTGTCCAGGCTCGGTGATTCTCTGAGCGGGCAGTGAGAGGATTGATGCCCACCTACCTTTTCCAGCAAGTCTTGGTTTGTTCTGATGAGCAGCTGCTTCTCTTCAACCCACTTGGAATCCTAAGAAAAAGCACTAAATATGTTCACACTCCTTGAAGCAAACAGGCAGCTAAAGAGCAAAGGTGGTGTCGGTGACCAAAAGGCAATAGAACACTCTATGGAAAGGTCAGAGAAAGGGACAGCAGCTGGAAAGACTTCATGGTCCCTCTAAACTGCTACACCCAAAAAAGAGAGCCGGCAGGTTTGTGGGGTGTCCCTTCCCCACGGCTCACACCCCCTGAAAGCACACAGAGTTCGCGCTGTGAGTATTCTGGATGGGAAAGCAGCTGCAGAGGGACTGAATCGGCCCTGCAGACCCGCTCAGGCTTGCTCACCACAGCCCGTGGGCTGGCGCCCAGGCCACACCCCGAGGGTCTGCCCCTTACCCACGGACCTGGCATCACGGGGACGTGCTTCTGTGCCTTCTGGCCCCACTGCCCGTGATGCCCTAACGGCATTTCTTTGCCTGGTCAGGTCCCATCCAGGGAAGTCCTGTGAGCACAGGGCACCAGGCCTCTGTTTCCACCATGGCACCCCCAGCGCCTAGCACAGGGCCTGGTACACAGCTGGTGCTCAGTAAATACTGGAGGATGGATACATGGATAAAGGAATAGGTGAAAGAACTTCCTTCTTCCTTTCTCTCAGCTCTGGTGGCCTCCTGGGCTTCCTTCTACCAACATTCATTACCCTGTGTTGTCCCTGGGTTGACAAGTGTAGGCCCCACAAGGCTGTGAGTCCCCGTGAGGACCAAGCCATGTTCCACTCATCTTTTTGCCTGGAGCAGACTGCCTGCAGCCGTCCCGCCCATCTGCATGCACATGACCCTTTGCAATGTGACTTTGCAGCGCCTTCCAATGAGACGTGATGGCTACCTCTCCAACCCTGAAGCGGGGCATGCTGTGGCGTGCGTTGGCTCCTGGACATTCGCAAATGGGACTCGAGCAGAGGCTTGGAACATGCTTGTGCATTGAGGCCTCCCCTTTCTTCCTCTCCCCAGACTGCGAGGCAAAGAAGCCAGGTTAGCTTCCTCGAGAATAAGAGGCCACAAGAGAGATCTGGCCAACAGCAGGTGCCCATGCCCAGACAGGAGGGAGAGGCCGTTTCAGGCCACCGAGGCCCAGCTGATGTGTTGGCAAAGCAGCCTCAAGAATGACCCCAGGTGAGACCAGCAGAAGAACCACACAGCTGGGTCTAGGCCAAACTGCTGACCCACGGGACTGTGAGCAAGTAAAATTTTTGTTGTTTTAAACAACTGAGTTTTGGGGTTGTTGGTTACACAGTGATAGCTAACTGCCGCATTATCCCTGCACACCGAGCACAAAACTCGGTATAGGGTGAGGGTTCTGGTGGCTGCTCCCTCAACAAATGGCCATCTGTTTTGTCCCAAACTGGACCTTCCATTCAGCAGATGCTGAGGGCAGAACCGGCCCACAAACATAGGGCGAGCACCCTCGGGTGGGGACGGAACTTAGTCGAAGACAACGGTCAGGCGACACGTGAGCTCAGCCTGCAAGAGGGGCCAAGGTCAGTGGCAGGTAGAACAGGAATTTGAGAACAGCCTTCTCTCCCACCTGGACTCTTCCCCGGCTGCTTCCTTCTCCCCACTTCTGCGTCCCCAGTGCGTGAAGTATGATTACTACCCCGTTTTAAAGATGAGGAAAAGAGACAACGTCAGTTGTGCGGGTCACGTAACACATCAGGCAAGCCAGTCCCAGAGCGTGTGCTCTTCACCCCTCCCCTGCCTCTGTGGAGCGTTCCAGACCACGGTTACAGAAGCAGTACCCAGGGATTGGCCACTCGCTGGCTCCGTCCGTGCCCAGAGCATCCTGGTCACCACTACCCGAGCCCTCGTCCCACTAACTGGACACGAGGCCGAGTTCGTTCTAACCACCTGTTCAGAACCCCGGATACCACCTTCCCTGAACACCCACCCCCAGGCCCCGTGTGCCAGCCGAGGACCTCGGGAAGCCCTCGCCAGCCCTCCTCAGCCCCCACAGCCTGCCTGTGCACCGGGACAGTGGTGCCACCAGACTCCACCCACCACCACACAGCCCTCGGCACCCTCACCGTGAGGTGTGAGGGGGGCCCTGTGACCGTTTGGGAGAAAGGCACCAGAGGCAGCAAACCCGCCTTCTCCTGCCCTCTGCAGAGGAGGGCGCGCCGTGGATGGGGCGGTTCCCAGATGGCGGTGCCTCCGGCACAGGATCCCTGAGTGACCCCCGGAGTGGGCAACCCCTGCCTCCAAGAGAGACAGGCGGTGTACTGAGCGGGAAATAAACCTCACTGTGCTAAGCCGCTGAGAAGTTCCAGCTACCTCTTACCACAGAGAGAACAGCTGACCTGCACTGACCCCAGGTGGGCGCTGCCTTTGGATGTTTCCCTCTGAGAGGCTGGACCACCATCCAGAGCCCCCTCCATGCTCTGCCCCAGCCCAGGGCACAGGTCTGGGCCTGGGCTTTGCCTCCGTACTGTGTCCTGCCGTCAGCCTGGCCTTGTCAGCTCAGAGAATGTACACATGGAGGCGACTCGACTCCTGAGAAACTCAAGGGCCGGGATTTCCCGGGACAGAGTCACACACAGCCTGGAATCCTGAAGCATGGGCTGAGGGGCCAGTTCATTTTCACAATTAAACCCTTATTGATAAATGATGACAGCTTTCCTTCAGATTCAAGTCAAAAAGGATTCTGGTCACCACTTTGCTTTCTGACTTGTCTCCTGCTTTCATGCACTTGGCCAACAATGAAAAAGCCAAGTTAGCATTTCATAACGTGTTTTGGTTTTTTTAAAACCCTGCAAATAGGCACCTCAGCTAGGATATTCTCGCCTGGGTTTGGCCTGGGTGTTTTTTTCTCTAACGTCTCTGGAGCAAACAACTCAGACCCATAAAGGGGGGACCCCCTCGGCACCAAGGCCACAGCGACACCACAAGGGGACAGACGTGCGAAAACCCCACGATCACTCCTGCTCACCTGTCCCTTCTCAACCAGTAACTTCTCCAAGTCTTCGATTTTGGCCTGACACCTCAGCAGGTCAGCTTGGAGCTGTTCCCGAGTCTGGAACGAAAAGGATCAAAAAGTGAGCAGGTCACCGGGAATGGGTGACAGAGGAGCAGCAAGGACCGTGCTGTAATCCAGGCCTTGGAAGCACATCCATGCATGGGTTCGAAGGTGGCCTACCCGGCTGCACATATACGGTTTTTAAGAATGGAAGGGTCTTGAGAGGTTAGTGGCTCTAACCCCCTCGATGTTACAGATAATGACTCGCAAGCCTGGAGCAGGGGTCGGCGTCTTCGAGGGGGTGAGTGAGCCAGAAGCCAGGCGTGTCAGGGTTCCCCATCCTGGCTTTCTGATCAATTTAGTAGTTGCCTTCACCAACACTACTAGGCATGTTTCGTGGGCCCTTGATTGCCTGCAGTAAGGGCTGAAAGCCAAAACACCTCAAGGACCAGGCAGGTGTGTGAGTCAGGGAAGCCGACTGCGTGTGGGGTATGAGGGGGTGGGGAGGACTGGCATACAGCCCATCTCAAGGGAAATCACCACCTGGCGGCAGCCAAAGCTGCTACCACGTGGAACGGGAAGCCGGCTGCTGCCAGGCTGAGCGTGTTTTGAGCTGCCAAGAGAGGTCAGGAACCTGGATTTCTATGTGAAATCTCCTGATGTTTAAATGTTGGCAACTAGATGAAACATTTAATAAAAACCACATGATTCAGCCGGAACTATGCCCAGCCCTTTACCTCCTCTGACCTATATAGGTTATAGGCTGAACCCTTTATTGTGGCACAAAAAGCTTCCCTCCCCACCAGCCTCATCCGCCACCTCCGACCTCATGGGGCTGTTGCAGGAATGAGATCGGGAACGTGCTGACAGCGATGGTGTGCTCTCTGGGTGTCCCCTCCCTTTCAGAAGGAAGGGCAGGCACGTGCTGCTCTCTGTGACTCCCGAAGGTGGGGTAAGGGCCAGTGAGTGGAAGTTACTGGAAGGCAGAGCTCAGCCCAACACAATGGCGGGCACGGCCCAGACCTGGGGGGCCAGCAGGGACTGGAGTGCCTTGAGGGAGCACCCCCCCCAACAGTCCCTGCATGGGCTCTGTGGGGCGTTCACAGCCTGGGAGGGGGGGAGGGTGAAGTCTACAAGGCCACCACATCTGTGATTTTGTCATGAGTCCTAAAGTCTGAATGCATTCCTACAAACAGATGGCACACGTGATGTGTGCTAGACAACAGGATCGTTTCTTCCAGCAGGTCCTGCCGTCACACTGAGGATGGCGAGACAGCACCTGTGGGGTCTGCCAAGGCTTTGTTAGGTGCCCCCCAACACCTCTCAGAATCCCCTCCAAGTGTCACAGGCAAGGCGTGGAGACCCCGGCGGTCCACCCAGCCCCTTGTGGCCGTTGGGCCTGCGACACTCACCCGGGCCTCTCTCTCGGCATCCAGCGTCCCCCCGACCTGCTCCTGAAGCAGGGCATAGGCCCGCTGCAGGGCCTGGTACTCCCTGGTCAGCTGACAGAACCTCAGGTCGGCCTCCTCCCTGGTTGTTGTCTTAGCGTCATGGAGAAGAAAGACATAAGGAAGCACGTGACTTGGTGTGGCTCCGAGTGCCAGGGTCCACTGAGACAGAAACACACATCCAGCCCTCACAGCCGTGGCCAGTAATTACTTAGGGAACTGGTCACTGCCAGGATGTCACCGGGGCCCTGGAGTGACAGGCTATGGAGGGGGGATGCTGTCCCAATCAATGGCACCCTTCCCGGGAACTCATGGAACCCCGGGGGGATCCTTGAGTCGCGGGCAAGGGAGAAAGGGCAAGAGCGCCCCGGAGCCAGCCCCTTCCACCAGCACTTCTCACTCTGGCAATTTCTCCGAAGGAGACAACCCCCTAGGAAGGCAGAGGTACAGTACTGGATGGGCACTGGAGCATCGTTTGTAGTCATGAGAAGTGGGAACCACCTGTTATGCGGGACCTGTCACATTAAATGCGTCCGCGTGAGACGTCCCCCGCTCTCACGAGAGATGGGGATGTGAACACGGCGTTTGGTGCCCAGAGCTGCCTGTTACATCCTGTTGGTCACATGTGTCTGGTATGACCACGTTTTACTCGGGTTTCCTAAGAGAATTCAGCTGGGGGGTGCGCGGGTGGGCAAGGACCACGCTGCCCTTTGCACCTTCGTGAGCCCAGCTCACTCAGTGCCGCGGTCATGAACCTGGATGTGCTCGATGATTGGGAAACGTCAGGGTGGTGACTCGGCGGGAGAGGGCTTCCGGTGGTTTTTACCACCCTCTGCACTTGCCAGCACCCTGTGGGTTCTCTCCTGCGTGACGTCATCTTCTTAATGAAAAGGCAGTTCATGCTATTGCCACTAGGTGGTGTGCCTGTGTGTGCGTGCACCTGTGCGTGTGCACGTGTGTGCGCATGTATGCATGCGTGTGTGTTCCCGTGTGCGTGCGCATGTGCTTGTGCATGCGCATGCGCACAGGGGGGCCAGGGACAGCCCACCACGCAGCAAGTTTAATTGAAAAGATAACAGCAAGGCGACAACAGATTTCCTTTGTGAGATCAGCACTGGGGAAAGGAAGGGACGGCCACATGCTGCTAGCACCCCCCCCTTGCCATTCGGGAGTCCCGCCCAGTGGAGGGCCACCTGCCCTCGGGGCTACGGGTTGTGATGACACAGGCCCTCCAGGCTTAGATCTTTAGGTGGGGGAGCGGCGGGCGGCTGTCAGGTGCCAGAGGTGCCCCCACACACCTCAGATGTGGGGTTGCTTACATCGTCCAAGTCTTCCTCCGGCGTGGCTGGGGCCCTGTCCGTCCTGTCTGTGTTGCAGGATGTTTCTGACAATGTCTCTGAGTCCACGGATTCCTCATCAAATCCAAAAAATGTCTCCACAACATGCTTCTAGGAATGTTAAGTCAATGTGCATGACATCAGGAACAGACTCAGAATTGCTGAGTTCCCCTCCTGCACACCCCAGCCCATCACCCCCAGGGCACAGGGGTGACTACACACATCTGAGCCCCAAAAGCATCCCAAGAGGCGGTTGGTGGGGTTCCTGATGGACTGGGTGGGAGAGGAGGTCAGAGCACACTGGCCTGCCCCTGGCTCCTTCTGCAGCCACTTAGCCCCTCTGAGCACCAGCTTCCTTCTCCATCAGACAGACATGGCATCCCTCCACCTCACCCAAGAGCAAGGTTATGTGTGTACTGTGCCTGGCATGCTGACCCTTGATGGGCAGCACGTGTGTCCTACTAAGGAGGGGCAGCCGGGCCACGTGAGATGTCTCATTCTACGCGCCAGACACAGGGAAAGGCTAAAGGGGCAGAGGGCCCACAGATGGACCTCAGGCTCTGACTGGCTAGGTGAGCGTGTGGTCCAGGTCCTCAATTGGTCCTGCACTAAAAGGCAATTTTTGTTTAACTTTTTATTACAGAAAACTTGGAACACTCATAAAATTAGAAGGAACAGTGTAAGGGACGCTCGTGCACCAATCACTCAGAGGCAATGTTAATACTCGGTGTGCCGGCTTCCTGGTTAGCCTACCCAGCACTTCTCCCACCCCAAATACCATGATATATGGGGCTTCATTGAGCCATTCACGCATACATTCCTGCATTCGTTCAGCAAACACTCGACTGAGCACTTTCTATGGGTCAGACACTGGATGAGGCCTGAGGAACACAACATGATTAAAACCAGGCATGCTCTCCCCCACAAAGAGCTTGGGTCCCCTGGGAACTGCAGACATTAACCGACAATCACCAGATCAATTTCCCTTGTTTTAGGAACATTGGCCTTTTTCCCCTCTAAAATAGCCCCGGAGAAAGATTCTTATTTCTGTTTACAACCAAGGAATGCTTTTCATGACCATGAGGAAAGAACCATAACTAAATCCAGAGTCAGGCCCCAGGCTCCCACTGGTTCATCCAGAACCTGGCTCCTCCCAGAGCCCCCTCCCCACTCTTCATCCCACAGAGGGATCAGCGCTCATCCTGCACATTGAGGGCACCCCCCCACACTCTGCTTGTTGAAGCTGGCATATGTCTGCACTCGCAGGAGCCCACATGTAAAAGAAATGTGGTTGCAACCATAATTAATAACATAATTAAGAAAGAATTCAGCCATCAGGAAGGGAGAGGGAGACGGAGTGACTACTCTGTCCTCTTGTAGAGCTAGAGTTTCTGGAGAGGTTTTGCTGGAGGCACCCAGGAGGGCAGGGGTTTGCTCATGAGGGGTGAGATGTGGGCTTTTGTATTCCCCACCGTGGCCCAGAGCCTGGCACACTCAATAAATACTGGTTCTCAAATGCGTATTTGTGAACGTGTCTTTGTTAATGAACTCAAAGCTAAACTAACTTGTTTGCCCACAAAGAGTTTTAGGCTTGCACTGACAGCCCCTCCCCTCGTTCACGCAGCTAGCACCAGCTGGGCAGGCACCTGGTCACACACCCCAAGTGAGTTTAGGAGGTAGAACCGTGGGGACCGGGGCACCCGGGTGGCTCAGTCGTTAAGCGTCTGCCTTCGGCTCAGGTCATGATCCCGGGATCCTGGGATCGAGCCCCGTGTCGGGCTCCCTGCTCGGCGGGAAGCCCGCTTCTCCCTCTCCCACTCCCCCTGCTTGTGTTCCTGCTCTCGCTGTCTCTCTCTCTGTCAAAGAAATAAATAAAATCTTAAAAAAAACAAACAAACCGTGGGGACCTATTAGGCTCTGTCGATTTCAAATGATTCCTTCTCTCCAAGTAGAAGCTGGGGACAGTCATATATGCTCCCATCTCCTCTTCAGAGGAGAGACCTCGCTTGAATTCAGGTATCGAAAACTCTCCAGATGATTTCCAGGGAGCAGTGAGCGGCGGTGACATCCTGATGATGATGGCACCTTCAGGAGCGACAGCTATACAGCACCCAAAGCTCCTCTGCACACACACGCACCTCACCTCCCCGAGCTCCAGGCTCCTCATTTTTCTGGGCGGCCATTCACCCACCTTATTTCTTGTAAACACTGCTAACCGCGAGGCCTCCGGGACAGGACCGTTTGGGGCGGTGCCGGCGGGCAGCCGCGACGCGCATGGACAGAGCTCCAGGAACCCTCCCGCCACACTCTCTCCAACACCCCCTGTCAGCGTCCTGGACCATTCTGGGGGCTAACGACTCATTACCCAGGATGATCCACTTCTCGAAACCTCTCGGGGTGGCTAGTTAGGTCCTCCCTCACCGAGCCCTAATACAACATCACGACAGATGTTGCCAATGTACATTTAAAGTAGCACTGCCTTTGTCGACAGCCTATCCCCAGACCCAAGTGGAGCCCCATGAAGTCCAATATGGCCCTGGAGACCAAGGCTCCGGGGAAGCATGCTGCAGTGCGGGAGGTGGGACAGAGCTCTGACGGGGCATCAAGCAGAAAAGGACCACTCCCATTATGTCCCTCTCCCAACAGGAGGTGAATCCGCAGACCCCCGGCACCCACAACACCCCCCAAGGCAACGAGTGGCCTAAGAACCCCCGCAACCTTGTACAACACACGGGTTGGGTTAGTTTGTTTCCTCGAAGGGTTAGTTTTTTCATTATAGGGGAAGCCGAAATACACCACAGAGATATATGCCTTTGTTAATAAAAGCAAGATAGAAAAGACATTCTCCACACTTAAAGCGAAAATCTGGGGCTGTCTTCTTTGAGGCCATTGCCACCTCCCCCTGACGCCGCCTTTTCAAAATCAGTGTCAAATAGCACCTGCCTCCACGGAAGGACAGAATCACCTAGAAAACACTGCTTCCTCAAACACTCGGCTCTTTAAGAAAGAGTCGAGCCCTGGGGCAACTGTGGGTTCCCAGAGTTGTCCACCTTTCTCAGAGTCCCTGGGCATTTATTTCCCAGGAAAAGCCTCGGCTCCTGGCCGCACACCTTCTGGGGGCTCGCTCCTCCAGATTTCCATCTTCTTTACCCCCAGAGTCCTGCCTTGCCCACTCCTTTTTATACACCGATCCAAATGTTTAAGATGCTGCTGGGGCAAAAATGAAAAACAAACGTGTCTGCTCCGTTTACACCTGGAACGGACAGAGGTGCTCCTTCTCAGCAGATGGAAAGGCCCCGAGGGGAAGAGAGGTACCTCCAAAATAAATCACCCTCCATGGACTGCAGCCTCCAAGCCCCCTCGCTCCTGCCTGCCCACGTCCCTTCGGACAGCCGCCCATGTGGCAGGGGCTCCCCAGCCCGGGGCTGCGTCCTTTCTCAGAACCGCCAACAGTCGCCCAGAGCCGGCTGCTTACCTTCATGCTTATAGGTCATCTCCTGGCAGCCGGAAAAGTACAGACACACCAGGGCACAGAGACAGAGAAAGAAGGAGAAGTACAACACAAAGAGAATGTACTCCATCGCGGGGCGCAGAGGCAGAGCCTGCTAGCCGGCGTGCGCCCGGAGAGCCCAGAGCAGCCTCTCTGGCACCCGCTCTCAGGCCTCTCTCCAGTGCTAGGGGGAAGCACCACTTCTCCCCTGGAACATTCTCCTCCCCTCCACCACACCCAGCCCACTGTGTCCGAGGCTTCCTGCCGACTCCCGTGCCTGCAGCTCTGTGATCAGCCTCTGGCGGCCAGCTCGAGGGCAGATCCGGGGGCTGAGAGCAGCTGGTTTCCCAGGCCCGGGCTGGCACCGTCGGGCACCCAGGACAGCTTCCGCACCGGTGCATTCTCTGGGGGCCGCCCTCCTGGTGCTGCCCTGCCACAGGCCCTGGGTCCCTGGACAAGCGCAAGGTCCCTGGGAACAGCGGTAGCAACGGTGATGCGGGGAGAGCTTTCTTCAGGCCCAGAGCCAAAACCCAGGAGGTGCCTCCCGCCACGTGTGCTTGGGCAAGTTCTCTGTCTGTCCCCCGAGCACCCCACACGCACCCCGGACTAGCTAAACTCATGGGCTTCTCAGCAGTCTGTCCTTCACCTATTTTATTTATACAGACTGACCAAACCAGGATCCACACCTGGGGTGCCCACAGGAGAAGGCGTTTCTTGGAGAAGCTTCTCTTAGCAGAGCAGCAAAAGTAAGATCCCGCACATTGGAAAAAATAGATAGATAATACCATTAAAAAGGAAAACTGCTATACTTGGAAAGATATTCACACCATATTAAAAGGCAAAGGACCACCACAAAAAGAAAAATATAGACAATCAGGTTCATATGTATATTTCAATTGTAATAATGCTTGATACTCTGCTCCTCCCAAAGTATCCATGATATGAGCTATGTAACCACATCATAGCGCCCACTAAGCCTTTCACTCATGTTTCCAAATGAGCTCCCCTCCTCCACCCAGGTCGAGTTGGGACTAGCTCAGGAATGGGCCTGTAACCAACCTGAGCCAAGGAGCACCAGCCCTGGGACTTTTGCTGGAGCCACTGAGGAGAGATGCCCTCCTGCCACAGAAGTTGCTAGGCAGGTGTAATGCCAGCTTACAGCTGCTGAAGCCAATCGGGGCACCACATGGGGAGAGCCTGCCTGAGAAAGAGGCCAGCCCATGGGGAAAGCAGAGTAGAAAAGGAGAGAGACAGGTTCCGGGCAGTATTGTGTAAGCATCTGGATCCAGCTATGCCTGCAACCAGCTACCTCTAGACTTCTCAGCTATATAAATTCCTTTCCTTTCTTAAATGACTTTGAGTTTCTGACACTCACAGTAAAAAGAATCTTGGCTAATGGGGGAAGGGGAGATAATCCTAGAAATTATGCTATCTGCAAGCTGTTGAGTTTGCTCAGAGGCTGGCTGGTGACAGAGCTGTGGGGAAGGACAGCCCAGGAACGAAGTCCAGTGGAAAAAACCCTACAGAGAAAATAAGATTCCTTTAGCCACTTAGAAATGGAAAGCGTGGCACATGACGACAAATGCCCAGGAGCCCCAGCCACGGAAGGTGGTATGCCCTGGCTTCTGTTCCAAACCAACTGCCACCACAGAGCTGCAGGCTTGGCCTTGGGGGGCACAAGGTCAAGTTTGGAAAGCCCCCAAGCGCCTGGTGAGAATGGACGCAGGAGCCCCTGCAGGGTGCAGGAGGACCATGAGTGACCTGCCAGAAGGGATCTGCCCAGGCATCAGCTGCTTCCTGGTGACAGCAGCCCCAGGGGCCATTTTGGGACGAGGGGCCCCCGGTACTGACACTTGGGCCCCAGGGAGGGCGGTTCTTCCCACGGTGCTCTGATGTTTCTCAGCGATCTTCCCAGCCTCTCGCAAATGATGGCTAGCTACTGTCTAAAGGGCGTCGAGAGCTCACCTCGCTATTACCTGAGACGGCCTCTCTTTTGAAAAAGGTGACATGAATAAGAACCAGGGAAGTGAAGCGCAGGGCCTGGGAATCTGCATTCAGCAGACCTGCCAAAGGAAAGCTACCGATGTAAGGGGAAGGGAGAAGGAAAAATCATAATTTATGGATCCCTGACTACATGCCAGGCACAGAGCCAGATGCTCTGTTTGGACTCCTGGATGGGACAATCATGGTGAGAGCCAGGAAACAGTCTCCCCGAGGTCAATGCCACATGGCCAGGAGCCGGACCTCTCACGCGGCTGCCAGGCTACAGGGTCTCAGCCTCTCCCCAGATCCCAGCCCCACTTTAACCAAGGCGCGTGAGCCAACTGTGCTGACTTTAGCCATGCTCATGTGCTCGGCTCTCTACTGAGACACGATTCCATGTTGCTGGACAGCAAGTTTTCAGAAAGCAAACCCGCCGCCCACCCCAAGGCAGAGGCTCTGTTTAGGTTCATCTGTGATGCCAGTCCTTCTGCAGAGCAAGCCCGCCCTCCCCACACGGGGTCTGGAGAACTGCTCGGGGTTCTCTCCTGCTACTCCCTGTGGGGGGCTGAACGAGCAGCGTCCTGGGGCAGAGACGCCCGCACCAGTCCTATCCCCAGAAGCACAGTGAGACAGGGTCAGCGGCCCTCAGGGTGTGAAGGTCCCCCTGGGATGAGGGCATCGCGGCTCTGCCATCCCTGCAAATGTAGCAGATTGGGGTGTGGGCGTGAAACTGGAGAAGCCCCTGCCAGGGGAAATGCAGAGTCCAGGGACTTCCAGAAAATTCTGGCACAAAAAATTGGGCCAAACAAAGGCCCGGGCAAAGTGTGGTAAAGCCCACGGATATACAACGGACAGAGCTCGAGGGAGGCATTGAAGGGGAGAAAGAAACTACTGAATCCCAGCAGCCTCTGGAAGGGAAGAGAGGGAAGCCACCCAGGCCTGAGAGATAACCCTGGGGGGTTCAAAACCTGCTCAGGTCCCCATCTGGCCCTGGACAATGCCGGGAGAAAGCATGAGTATGTGGGGGAAACTGCTCTACCCTGAATCTTGAGAAAAAGAAAAGAGGCTGTGGGTCATAGAAACAGTAAGTGGAAACAACCCTGAACCAGCTCAGACACAGTATGTGTGCATTGTTCTCGCCCCCAGCCCCCGGGATGGGGTACTTTGTTACAGCCACCCCCAGGAAACTAATGCAGAAGGGTCCCCACTTCCTTCAAACCCCTGGAATATGTGACACCTGCTGCTGGGGGCTCAGTTCACCACAGGCCCCAGCACTCCCTACTGCCACTCCAATATGAAAGCCTCCACATTGGTGGCTACGCATAGCACATCAGCACCGCTGTTTTCTTTAGAGAAGAGAAATATTTCAGGACCGTATCTCTACCCAAAGAGAAACCAGGAGGGACATCCAGTTCAACAGAAGGGAGAGCAGGCCCACGTCTTTGTGGCAATGAAAAAATTGTTCACAGGTTTAAATGCAAACCAAGTATTTTTTTTTTTACACCTGCCCCAATTTGCTCTCTTCATTCCAGCCTGGTCCCTGTGGCATCTGAATGTTCCCAGGCCAGCAGTGCTCTCTCTGTCAGGACATTTGGGCACTGTCTCTGTAAGACCACATTTTCCAAAGAGAACGGTTCTGTGTTACTCCAGAAAAATCCCAAAGCTCCTGACTTTGTCAGAACAGGATATAAGATGTTACAAACCAAGACTGAGTGCCCTTTAAATCCTTCAAAAGGTCTAAGTATTTGTGCTTTTAATTTTGGGTGAGCAGCCCCTGAGGCCCACATACAGAATCCATCAGTAAGTTTTCCACGAATAAATCACAATCGCTGGCCCATGGCTGTAACTGATGTTGCTTTGAGAGACACCGTAACAGCTTTCTCCCCATCAGACATGCAGAGACATGAGTGTCTCTGCCTCGAGGACCCCCTATGGATTGCTCATGTTTCCCCGCTCCTGGACCATCTGCCCTGCAGCCCGGGCAGGGCCACAAAGCGGGACAGATGCACCACTGCGGGCTTACCTTGGGGGGCTTCAGACTTTTCCCGCGATGTCTTTTGGAGCGCAGGAGCCGTTCCCTCTCCTAGAAGGAGACACACCTGTTGGCATTTGCACCGGCTCACATCACACCAGCCAACCCACCAGCCCTCACCCCGCGCCTGCCTGTCCGTACCGGGTGTGGGTCAGTCCAAGTTCTGAGCACCCACGTGATGGCCGCTTCCCAGAACTGCAAACTATGGGGCCACCCAGTTTACTCAAGTCCTTAACGAGAGTGGGACTGTCTTGAGAAAAATCCCCAAATTTGCCAATCCTGAAAGCCCCTGCCTGTGTGCTTTGGGGGCTGGAAGCTGTAAAGCCCTGGGCAGTATGGACTAGTGAGGTCTGCAGCCCAGGACGAAATAGCTTGTGGCTGAGTTCAGACTGAGCTGGGACCAAATCCCCTGGGACCTCCTCCGGACCAGGTGATGCACTTTATTCCTCTGACTTCAGGTTCTTCCTTTGCTCTATGGGGCTAGAACCCACCATGCAGTGTGGAGCCGGTGGCCGCCTGGTGGCTGCCGTCAGTAAGAATGGTGTCTACAGAGCTGTAAGTGTGCAGCCTTCTATCCCAGGCAAAACCAGGACATCTCTCCCTCCTAACCAAGCCCTGCTTTCCCCCTTGGCCCCCAGGAAACCCAGAGACAAATCCGGTGCTTGGGTCCAGCCCCTATGGTCCACCTATTTGTCCCTCCTCCTCTCAGTGGATGTGACTGTCTGTATGTCCTCTCGTCTCATTGGTTTATTATTCCTTTTTCAACTGTATCATCATTTTATTGAAGGTGTGTTTATCTTATGCTGTATCAAGTCTTTGTGTAATGAGGAGAGATGAGAGGATGGATGGACAGATGGATGGATGGAAAGAAGAAGGGATGGAAGGGGGATGGGAAGATGGGAGCATGGACGGATGAGAAGGATGGAGGGATAGAATGGATCAGTGGGTGCAAGGAAGGAGAGAAGGAGTTAAAGAGAGAGGGAGAGAAGCCAGCAATGTGACCTTGACAATTACGGTCAAAGCTTTTTCTAGAATTTTGATCACTGGTTTGTCTACACTTTGAAGACCCATGAATGGAACCACCACATTCCCTCTTGGGCAGTAAGAACACACTTTGCTTCTAAGATCCAACTGAAGCTTACTACAAATGCTCCCTTACAGGGCCTAAGCTCCTTTCACAGTCAGCTGGAGAATTCTCTGGAAGTAACACTCCACCTACTAAGACATACTCATCTCCCCTTAATCTTCCACACACACAGAGTCTTAGTAAGCCCTTCAAATTCTAGTCTGATTATAAGGTTCAGGCTTTCAAGTTCATTGTCTGTAACAACTGAGCTAAAAAAAAAAAAAAAAAAAAGACTTCTCAGGGACAAATCGTGCCCACTCTGTAGAGGCCAGAAGACTCATTCTCGAAACCGATGCTTCCTCTTAACAACAGCAAATCGGGGAGAAGATTTGAGAAAAAGAGTAGCCATGGAAACGGCTCCCAGTTTATACAAAGTCGGAGGCTGCTTTCAGGCTGAATAAAGCAGGGAGGTGCCCGGGATGAGCTCCGTGAGGCCCCGCCCGCCTTAGCAGCTGCGCCCTGGAGCCTCCACACCATTCCTGACACCGTGTCCCTTGGCGCCACACCAAGCACAGACATACCAGTGAGAGGTCGTCGATGACATGCTGCTGCTCCAGCACCTGCAGCCGCAGGAACTCGATCTCCTGCTCGTCCCTGGTCAGGCTGAGGTCATTCAAGGAAGTGTGTCGCTTCAGAGACGCCTGCGCGGACAGCTTTTCTTTCTGCAGCCAGAGGGAGAGAGCACTGCCGGGCTGCTCGGCCAGCGGCATCGTGACGGGGCAACGGGGCGTGAGCTCAGGGATACGGGGCGGAAGGAAGGATGACGGCCAGCCGGTCCCCAGGCTGGAGGAAACGACAGATACAGACCAGAAGCCAGCGCGGGGCCCGGCCAGCAGGGTCCACTGCTGAGAGAAAGGGCTGGGCAGGCACGGGGGTGGGAGGTGGTCACCCAAACCGGGCCCTGGAAGCTGGACGAGGAAGCCTGGGAGGCAAGCCTGCCACCGGTGATCACACACCCTCACGCCTGGGCCTGCTGGGGACACCGGGACGAGGGCCTTGTACCCCGCAGAGCCTCAGTCTGGTTGCTGTAAATGGGGTGACTGACCCTACCTTGGACAATGAACCTCAGACTCTTGCACAGGCCATCACAGACCAGAACCGCCCTGACCACAAAGACGAGCCACTCTTGTCGGGGAGAATGCAAATTCCTTATGCAAAGAAGGCCCTTGGAGCAGAAATGGCCATAGCTTTGCACCTAGTCTAGTGTGCACTAGAGCCAGGTACGCTGGGAGGCCTTTCCCTGCCACCACTCCATCCTCCAGACAACCCTCGATGCTGGCATGGCCATCCCCACTTTCTGGAGGAAGGCACCGAGGTGCAGAGGGAATGAGGGGTGCATCTAAGGCCACGGGGGTGGCAGGCAACAGAACACACGTACAGCCCCAGCTGTGGGGCATTGAGGGGCCCGGAGAAGTGGGAGCAGGGGGGATGGGCGCGGACTGAGACCCCTCACGAGCTTCCTGGGGGAGTGAGGGGCTGCAGGGAGAACACAGACTGGGCGGGTCAGGGGCTGGAGAACCCCGGACGGAGACCAAAACTCGGGGCTGGTGGTCCCAGGTCGCCAATGACTCACCATTTCCACATTTTCCCTCGTGAGGTTCTTGATTTTCTCCTCCATCCTCTGGATGCTCTGCAGCAAATCCTCATTCTTCTTGTTCATTCGCTTGTTCTTCTCCACAAGGGGCTTCAGCTGGACCTCGGTCTCCCGGGAACGTTTCAGCTACGATCAGAAAGACACAGAAGGCCGGTGGCTTTAACCCCCAGTGAACTGCTGACGTCACACCATGGAGGCAGGCGGAGATCCAGCCCGGGCCTTCCTTGGGACTGGAGCTGCCACTGTTAGGACCACATTTCCTGGATGGCACAAACCTCCGAAAAGACCCCACAGACACCTGGCTTCCAAACACAATATCCTATGTGAGGCTCAGGAGGCTCTGGGTAAGGCAAGAGCCCGCCCAACAGGGAGGCTCACAGATCTGCCTCAGGCCGCCCCCCCCCCCCCCCCCCCCCCCCCCCCCCCCCCCCCCCC